GGTTTATAAAAGAACCATATCTCGAAGTATAAATAAGCTGGTAGGTAACTAATCTTTTTGAAAAACTCGGTAAATATTTTCATAAAATTCCCAAGTCCGATTGGGTAAGATTCTTATGCACAACGTAAATATCTGGCTAAATTAGAGATTTTATAATCATTTAACAAAATATTAACTCGATTTCAAAGATATTCTCATACAATGTAATTTCAATATCATTATACTTTATAACTAAGTCGGGCTGACATAATAAAAAAATTGATGTCTTTTAAATCTTTCTTAGAAACAAAGAACTTTTATCTTAACTTATTCATTTAATTTATTAGGAAATTTCTTCATAAATTGATTCTGGTGAAATGGAGTCTCTCTTTTCTCGACTTTAGCTTCTAACGCCGACAAATGGCCGTCGAGTGAAGAATTTGGTGCAATTTAATTATTAGTTTGGAAAGCTTGAAACGAAGATGTATCGTTCCTCTTAATTTCTTTCGATTTAACAATGCTTTCGATTTTAATAAGCGTTGAAGCCTTCAATTTATCAGTTTGTTTGCGATCAATGTTGTTTGATAGCTTGCTGAAAGTACCTAAATAAAAAGAATTTCAAAAAATTGTCTCTAAAATCACTCAGAGGGTGGTACATTGTTTAGTTTTTGTGCTTATAGTTTTCACGAAATTTAATTTGAAAACGAAAGCCCCCTTTTATTAAATGAATTTAATTATCTTTGTATGAAGTAGACTATTGTTTAGCCAACTATTATTTCTCATTTTCAGTATAGCAACAAGATAGAAGTTCATACAGAGTGTACGAATTCTTCCGCTGCAAGCGTTAGAATTAGAATCTCAATCAATACTATAAGATAGTAAAGAACAGAAACTCGTTTATCGGTTGCCGGCCGATATTAGAATTCGTCAATTCGCTTCGCTTCGTTCACTAGCGAATAGCGGGGATAGCGGGCGTGACTATTTCGTATGTTCTCTTTATTCCTTACATAGCAAAAGTTAAATTAGCTATCTCATTATTCTCATTATATGCTTGCAGCGGATCAGTTCGTACATACTGTATACTATTGAGATGTTGGGAATATCGATTGTAACCGTTGCATTATTTATATTAACCGAGTGAGGTAAACTTATTAGATCCTTTCGTTTAGCTTCAAGAGGACCAAAAAGTTTCGAATTCTGTGATCATCTTAACTTTCTTTCATCGTAAGTCACGTATTGTATATACAGTGCGATACTTTTTGCCTTAGTTTTTTGAATGCCGCTAAGAATTTTTTTACCTAATTACCAATAAAATTGTTAACAAAGTTTCAACAGTTGAAGGTATTTAAATTCAACCTAAATAAATAATTCAATAGATCATTATATTCACAAAACGTATTTATACAGGTTTTTTAACAATTGGCCATTATCAAAAAAATATCCAGAACGTCACAGTGAAATGAAATCGAACGCTTATTTCATTTGACTATTTGATTTGACGAATCAGCATTGAACATTTCAAAGGTTTTCATTGTTAGACTTTATTGAGCTGTATAGAGGCGCTAATAAAGCAAACATATAGCTATAAACTAGGCAACAATGAATTCAGGGTTGTATAAAAATACCCATTCAAATATCCATTTGCAAGCACCTTTAGTGGGTAATAATAAAAGCAGCTTATTGCAGATAAATGCATATCTGAAGTGAAGCTGACAGTACATCGCAATGAGAGATTTAAATTAATTCTTCAGCATTTCTCATAACAACCTCTTAGCATATTGCAGATCGAATTCCTTAAAATGCGGAATTTATTTTGCGGCATCAATGCAGATCTTTCGGTCGGTGATAAAGCTCGTTTGGGCAATTTTAGTCACGAAAGAGTGATTGGTGGTTTTTACTCGAACGCATTAAAATAATCTTGCACTCAAAGTATTTCTTCGCAAGAAATTTGAATTTCAATTAGGTATAATAGACTCTGCAACAAAATAAGTTTATTTTTCTAGAAAATTATAACCAGACATAAAATAAGAAATACTTGATTTTTAGTATACTTACTAAACAAATATTTTTATTTGCTCTATTTAAAAAAATTATTTTCATAGGCCGTATTGTCTATTTTTTTCAAATTGAAATAAATAATCTTCCTACGCTTTAATAGAAATTCAATTCAAAAATAAAGGTATTAAAAATACTTATACAATCATGGATCAATAAATTTATTAGGTATACATACATAGGTATTATATTAAATATGGAAATTTAATTAAATTCATTTGCTATTGAAAATTCTCAAATAAAGGATTTAAATCAATACGTTTACCTATAAAACAGTGCAAGTTTGATGCGACTCTATAATAAAATTTCCTCCAAAATTAAAATTTTACAATCAGATATTTTATTTGTCGATTCCATCATTCATTTTGCCGGAAATTCTAATATTTTAAGAACATGGTTTAATTTTATTTCGCTCTGCTATTGCCTTTTGTTCTTTGCTCGGTCTGATATTTTTCTAGTGAATTTTATTACTTGAAATAAAACCAAAAAATATTTCTTTATAAAGCTAATGGATGTATATGATAGCGAAAAGCATAACAAAAATAGGAAGGGAATAATTCGATTTAAAAATAAACTTGAAGGGTATATCCTGTTGAAGTTTAGGAATTTCCTGAGTTACAATATTCGAAGGAAGATAAACTTTAGTTATTCAATTATTGTTCTCGAGTTTCTATTAGTTCTCTAAAACTACTATAAGGATGAATATTGTGATATTTTGTTTGCACTATGGTCAAATCTATGAGTCAAACAAAGAATGGTTATTAAAATTTCAATGATTATAGAGTGAGAAAGTTACAATGCCCCAATATCACTCTTTTTTTTCTTTTTTATGAGGAATCCTTTTTATCCTTTTTATTATACTTTTATTTTATTTACTTTATTTTTATTAAAATCTATTACCTATGTGTTCTTCAGAGTAACTAAGTAAGTAAGTAATAAGTAAGTAATAAAAAATGTACCGTTCTTAAGCGTGACTACATTTCGATTTCCTTAGAATGTTGTAAAAGGATCAACCGTTGTTGGATATCTCAATACATTAAAAATTTACACCAAAGTTCTTCCTTCTTTAATGAGACATGGAGCTGTTATTTCAGTATTCCTTGCAGATTATCCGATCTTGGAATCCGAATCTTGGAAATATTAATTAAGATAGTACAAATACGGGATAATTAATGAGATCAATCAAGTTATCAAGTACAATAACGCTCAAATGCATGCATAATTGATGAAATAATAGGGTGTGCTCAGTTTCAGCATAAAATCGATTCAAGATGTTAGTAGTTAAGTATATAATATCGCACCTGAATGCCTATATGTTTTCACAGTTTCTTACATTATTAGGAAATTGTAATAAACAAGAATTTATTAAGAGCAAGTCACTCAGATCTAAATTTTTGTCAGAAATAAACGCGTTATTTAAATTATCAAACTGACAGGTACATTTTTACATTAAATTATAATTTGTAACTGGTAGTTTTAATTACGGAAGTTGCTACTGTGAAACATCTCATGCGTTTTAAAATTAAAATAAAGGGTGTCGGTCTAGTATTCAGTATTCTAGTATTCCACTTCACATTGGATTTCCTAGATAAAAATTAGAAACCTAAATGCACATCGGAGAAAATGCTATATGTTTCTTCTGTCTGTTGGCTTGAAAATTTAAAAAAAGAATAAATAAAAACAATTCGTAAATTCAATATTTTACCAACAAAATGTTTTCTTCATCTATCTCTTATTTAACTAGGAATTTTTGGCATCGCTTTCTCCTTCATAAAAATAAATTACACCATTTTGGCAATACAAACCCTCGCTGATAGCGACATTCTCGTTCGTTTAAAACGTGCTGGTTTCTCTTTTGCTTAAGAGGAACAGTTCGCCACATAAATTTGGCCTAAAGTAATTTTAACTTCCGAAAACTGGAATTCCCGTTCCAATCCAATTCTATTTTGTTTAATATTATGTAAACGCAGCACACCCGTTCACGCGGGTCTAATTATTTATCGATTTCTTAGTAAATTAGGCTAGGAATGGCCACAGGGGACTAATATAAACTGTATAAATACAATTACAAAAAGTTAGTACAAACAAGTATGATGGGAGAAGTGTTTAAAAAAATTTAGGTGTCTTGGGAAAAGAGTTATTTCATGCAAGTTTTATGGTCGAATTATTGACACACCTTTGATCACAGTTGATATGTTTATTTTATATTACCTACATAAATATAGAATTTAGAAAATAAATAACCTTTTCAAATCCCTGGTGAGTGTACATAAAGTTTTTGAAATTATAGTTTTCCATTTAGCCTTTAATATAACGTTTGGGTACTCAGGTGAAGGTATAACGAGAAATATCTATAAAACATTACGATCCATTTATTCCGAATGAAAAACGTTATCTCAATAAAATGTATTGCAGCTCTCGTCAAATTTCGAATTGGACGATATGTGTTTGGGAAAATTGTGTCCTCAACACACATATTGACCATGCGATGAACGAGAAATATGCTATAGAGAAAATTTCTGAACGGATGCGGTGATGAAAAATCTTGATGAACAGCCCTCAACTAATTTCCGACCTGTTACAGCAGTGTTAAAAATTAAAAAAAAATCTCGATTCGTAACAAATTTTGTAGTAAGAGCACCATTTTTGTTGAAAATAGAAATCCGTTTGTATTTTGAACTTTATTTTATTTCTGTTATGACAGTAACTGAATTTATTCTGCAGGCACGCCGGGGAAAGCTTATAACGACAAATAATCATTTTATCCAAACAAACGCTATTTAATTACCTACTACATACTCCAACATGGAACTAAAAAGTTAGTGCTTTAGAGATAAAATTGTTATTGCGTGAAAGCTTTTGCTAACTTTCAAACATGCATTGTCACTCGTTCCAATTAGCAACCAAACGTTAATTCCATTCCTGAAAGAGGATTTTAATAATGGCCTATTTTTACAGATAAAGTAATGGATTTTTTCATATCCAAATGCACCTGCGTCGGGAGTCGACGAAGACCGGTCATAAATTGCGACTACTCTGATAGCGATTCGAAATCCGCCTCCGAGATTGAACTGAAACCATCCAGTGAACCACACGAAACGATCAAAAAACCCAAACAGAAGAATTGTTGGAAAGTCAAAAGGATCATTCCGCGAGCTGTGCTTAGATGGTTCGGACAAGATGAAGATATGAGCATGACTAAAATTGAGAAAAGTAAGTATAATATTTCACAGATTAATCAAAACGTTAAGAACGTTTACGTTAACAACGTTAAGAAGAATCCGCTGAAAAAAAATTTTCAATTTTCTGTAGATCCTTATAAATACAAAATCCACCTAATACATTTCTTTAGTACCTACATATTTAGATAGAGCACTTCATCATTGCAATAACAGTAATAAATGCAAATAATCCGTACTGCTGAAGTTGAAACGAGGTTCACAGCATAGCAACCCTGTTTTTTTGTAATGAAAGTTGCTTTCGGACGAAACGAGACTAACAAAAAGCATCACCATTTAAATAAACGAACAATTTTCAAACGAGATCGGTTTTTTATGCAACGCTGATGGTAAAACAGAGAGAGGATCGTGACATTTCGTTTTAATACTTCTCTCCTTTCCACTATAGAGCGTATATGCATCGCTTAAACTTTTAGTTTTAATTGTTCAAAAATATTTGTTATTGTAATATTTAAGTTGTCTGTTACCCTTATACAAAGATATTAAAACCATAAAAGCTTTTGCATTAAAGCAACAGCAGGGTCCTCGAAGCGAAACATCTCTACCTTTTTATAAATACGGCCTAATATGATATTATGAAACGACAATGAATTTTTACATACTTTAGGTACAGAAAAAAACTGTAGCATTTTAATATGTAAATATTATCGTCAATTTGTATATTTCGAATTTAAATGAACTGCAAATAAAATAAAACAGAATTGTCGCCTGAAATAAAAGGCAGAAGAAAATGGCAGGATTCGTAGAACGACTCGTATAAATTGCAGCGAAAACATTTCGTTTTTTATCCACACTTCCGCCGAGCAAGGTCGGCCCCATTATAAACGGCTGCCCTAAAACGACGAAAATGAAGGGTAATTATTCCAAGTTCCAAATACCATTACTTGCACTGGTTCGAATTGCGCTAAATTAACCGAATGTTACAATGTTTATAATTAACTCTAGGTACAATTGGCTATTGGATTTGATTAACAAGTATAGGTATCAAATAGTCTTGTTGCGACGACAAATGAATGTTGATTAAACATATGGTTTAGTATTACGTCCAGTAATTTTGTTTTTCGCAAACCGCACGATTGATAATGGTTTTGAAAACCTGCAAACATTTCTGGAAAATCCATTAAAGACATAAAGGCAAAAACACGATAACTCTTTAGTGAAAAACTCTCGAGAGGACTTGTCAAGTTTCACCTTTATACGTGTACCTTATCTTTCCATTTATAAACTTAGAGGTCTGCTTTTCTACGAATAATATTTTGAATTGGGTTGGCAAAAAGCTATATCCCGAATTATGTTAATAACAAATAGCGGTCGGAATTATGGCATAGTAAGTAAACTGTAAACTGTACAGTAAATACAAAATGTTCGCTAAAGGACTGTCGTAACTTTTAATAAAAGCCACGAGCATACAAAGCGTAATAAGGGTTAGGAATGCAAATTCCGAATGGACTAATTAATAAATATGTTTTCATTTCGAAAGGTTTTAATAATAATTTTTCACGATATGCGTGTTGCGTGAGGCGTTTTTGCTGAACAACAAATAAATTATACTCATTTTCCATCTTCGATTTAGTAAATTGACGAGACTCCATAAATTACCAGTCGATGCTAAGATATTTAACGTAGAAGCATGAGTTTCCCTAACACGAGATAATGGAAATTTTCCGTGCTCGCCTCCTAACTACACCACCGGGTTGTATTGTGCGACTCCGAAACGACGAAACACAATTCTCGTACTGCAGCACCGGTTTAGTTTATACCACAGGTTTATACCTACTTACAAATAAGGTTGGGATTGTGGAAAATCAACAATAGTCAATAGTAATTCACCGTCATTCGCACGACAAGAAATTTTAATTTTCTGTTGGTAATAAATAATGTAGTCAGATGTAAGCATTTTTCAAATACCTACATACTATAGCACTAAAGCGACGAGCTTAGAATTTAAAAAATCCATTCTATTACCTTATAATTAATTTTTTTAAATTCCATTAACAGGAAAACGTATTTTTAATGAATAATGTGTCATTATTTATCCAAAAAAATTAATTTAAATTTAAATTTAATTTAATATTTAAAAGAATTAAAAAAAATCAATTATAATTATATATTCTAGGAAAAAATAAAACAACGCAAATTTGTCTTTTACCTAAAATAGAGGCATTAGAAAATTTAAAGCCAATCCTGTTGCCATTAATTTTGTATTGACATCCTTGTATGGCTTTTCTCTATTTCATAAAATAAAGGTATATATTAACGCGGACATAAATAACTCCTATATCGGTATAAAAAACTTTTCAAAACGACTATTAAATAAACAATATATTGCCAAGCATCAATAATACCCACATTATTAATATTTTCAACCATAAACAATAGATTATTATTATTAATAAACAATGATGTTTTGACCAACTAATTGACACCATTTTACGACTACTAAAAACTTTCCTGGAGTAAATTTAATATTAAATACCTATACCTACTTCTGCTCTAATAAATATCGTGACACGTTTTGTTCGGAGGATTTATGGCTTAAACTTCAACAAACCTCCGATATTTACTATCTAATTAAACCTACATCAAAAGCTGGGGTCACTGGGATCCCAATTTACCAGGCATGTATATAACAAAATGTTAGATGCACGTGCTACCCAAATGTCTACTTAAAATATTATAAGTGCTAAGAATCCCAAATCCAAATGGCCTTTGGAATCGCAAAAAGGAGAGAACTTGTGATAATTTGAAGGTTACTTCAAATCCAATAATAGATTCCTTGTAATTATTAGATTACCAGAAAGAACACATACAAAAATTAGATATTAAAAATTGGAACAGGATTTGAAATACACGAACATTAAAATCAATTTTCTATGCATTACCTACATTTTACTTGACGTAATAAAAAGTAAAGTTTATTATTTGTAGAAATTAAGATGGTTATAAATCAAATCGTAGCCAAAATCTATTTTTACACGCACTTTCAGTAAAAAATACGCAAAGTGCATAAACTCACTTTATCATCAAAATTTACTTTCGTAGCAGATATTCCTGCGAAATTCTGTTAAATTTATGCATATAAGTAAGTGTTTGCCGTCATATTGCATATTGCACCTTTTTCGAGATGAAATGCGGCACCGGAACGTGGTGTATCGTATTCCAGAGATCCAGAGATCTATATTCCCATTCGGTATTTTGGGATTAATCCTTTGAGAATTTATTACCGTTATATATATCCAATTTATTGGCCTTACCAATAACGAGGTTTACATAAAACAGTTGTGGGACTTTATCGATTTCCTTACCTCGCAGTCTGTTCTAATTTATACGAAAAGATAAGAAGTTTGATGGTCCCATACGGGCTTTGTTAGGTTACTAACTACACGCGAATGATTCAGCAAAAAAACAATTTTAGATCGAATGCTATATTTTTTCTCTGCAAAAAAAACCTAATAAAACTCAAACATACACACAGTCAAAAATGTTTTGCATATTACAATATGAAGTTCCATTTCAACTATATTTCAACTATATATTTGCAATATGCAAAACATTTTTGAGTATGTGTATGTAAATAACTACTGTTGAAAGTATGAACCTTCAACAATGGGTATGCATATTTAATATTTATTTATTTATTTATTCAACTTATGCAGCTTTTAATTAAAATCTTGTGAGTGTAATTTTAATTTGGATCTCCCGTTTTTCAATGATAATTAATACGGTGCAATTTCCTCTCATAACTGATGTGATCCGTGTTAAATCAGCTTTTTTCTTTCACCGAGATTATTGACCGAATAAAAGGACGTGCCTGCGAGGCAAGAAAATCAGTTCAATCGATGGCGTATCCAGAAAGCATGAAAAATCGGTTCGGCCCGAAGGGAGTAATATTAATTTAAGGGAATTTAACGTCTGAATAAATAGAAATAAATTTATTACGAGCAATTCTTATTTCTTATGTCCCTTTGACGCTCTTATACAGTTAACTTCGTAAACTCAATAAACTATTTGCCGAGGGAAAAGCTTCGAAAGCCCGCTATGTAATTGTACATTGTACCTGTATCTGCTTTATGTGTTTTTCTCCTAACCCCCCTTTATCCCCCGCGTCTTTGTTTTATGGACACCCTCTCGGTCGTAAAACTCATCGCATTCGAAAGATTAGCTTTAAAGTTTTTACGAGAAGACTTTTTAGCAGTTTCTGCTCTTGATCGTTGACGAATTTTATTTTGAAACGACCGAATTTAATTTACCGGCGTTTCGATTCGATCTATTTATAGTATGCTAATTCCATTCGTGAAATGAAGCATCGGATAATCCCATCCATTTGCTTTATAAAGCGGTAAAAGTAACACATTGTTGAAAATTTTGGTAGTTTTTTTTAATCGCATAGCGATTACCACGTATATTCGGTAAAAAATACCCGAGCGGAATAACCATATCGGAATAAAACGCCATCAGTTTCAAATAACGCAATTCTCATTATTTTTGACGTGTTTGGTCTCCCGATAAATGGGTCAATGCGACGTCTCTCAACATCGTTACATTTCCCAAAGCGAATACAATATATTTTTTACTCGCCTGAAAATCGTGACAGTCTGGAAAATCTAACTGACGGACGTATTGTGAATACAAATCGGTAATAGCATACAAATTTAGCCTTTCCTCGTACATTTTGTAATGTAAACGTAGGCATTTTTCGTATGAACATTCAATTATTTCAACAATATTCTTTTTGCTCTTAAATCCGTGTAAATTTGTGTTCTACCTGGCTGATTCATCAAAATCAATTGTTTTTAATAGAATTATTCGTAAATTCGCGAAGAAAATATCAAAGAATGTCTAGAATTTTCTGTATATTCGAAAGATTTATTTTTATTAGAATTCCAGTCGATTTTTAAAGGGGCATTCAGATGAATTCCAATCGGAAATTATGTTGTTACCGACAAATTCTACCAATACGAGTTTTGCATAAAATAAAATTCCTAAGAGCTCGTTTGCTTTACTATAAAAATCTAGATCAATTGAATAGGGTAAAATCATTAGATACTTATTAAAGAGTATTATTGAGCACTTCGAAGTACCAAGCAAATTTCAATTGAATATACAAAGAAAGATAGTGAATATTAATTTCAGTACGTGCATTTTCTTCATACATAATATGCTTGTTAATAGATATACAGAGTGATGGAAAGGCCAAATGAAATAAATTCATTATTTCGGTTACTGTACATATTTATAAAATATCCCGAAACAGTTCAAATTTTAATTATAATTTGACATATGGCGTTTCGACCTGTATAATCTTCTCTAAATGTGTAAGCAAAAATCAATATTATCTTAAATCAAAAACCATAGGCAAAAATCCAATTGATATTTAAGCCTCTTTATGCAAGCAGGATCTGTAATATTAATTTCCCGCTGCAGCGATTCCTTCTGATGCCACAAAGCATATCACAAAGAACTGATAAAAAAAACTTTTTTACTCGTTCATATTCTTTTATACTTTATGATCGATGAGGGAGCTTTTGAGGTATTATATTCGTGCTGTGACAAAAGAATTTTCTGCAAAGTTTTCGGCGCCGTTTAATATTCAAATAAACGTTATGCCTAACGAAGCATCAAACTCGGTAATTGGTTTAAAACTTCTTGATTAGAAGTTTTATAAACTAGATTCACCTGGGGTTTGAGACTTACGTGTATTATAGGACCTACACTATCTAATGCACAAATATACGTTGTGTATAAAACAGGGTAAAATTGGCTAGCACTTAATTTCAAAATTTAGAGACATATTGTAGTAAACAAAATTTTATAGCACCTGTTTCATGAAAAAAATGAAAACTACCATGATTTTTTTGCACATACTACGTAGGTATATTTTAAAAGCAAATGCTTTTAGCATTTTCGCCCTATTTTTCCACATTTGAATATTGAAAATAGAAAATAAACTACTATACGTGGAATTCTCCGAAATTACATTGGCTGTGAAATGTCCCCTGGCCAATAAATATCGATTCTAGGCACCGAAAATCGTATGTAGCTGGTGATCTATAAAAACGAAGGGTCTCAGAAAATTGCTATACATTCCACAATATTAGGGGCAAGACGTATTCCGAGATTAGGGATCGAAATATACCTATCTATTACGAAAAGAAAATCTTAAATCTTTTTTGGAAAACCCTTTAGGTACTAAAGATAGACCCTTGGTTATTTATTATCACTTTTTCCTCTGATGAAAAAGATGGATGAAAAATTATACTATACAGTGCTTACAAAGAAGTATGGACACTCATTAAAATCTTTTCTTTTCAATATTTTATTTGAAGAGTATTTTACATCGGTTAAATTACATTTTTTTATCAAATATATAGAATTTATGTTTACGATTATAATAAATTTAATAATACTGATGTTAATTGAGAAATTTCTATTTTGATTCTAACCGATTTAATCATTTTAAGTGTATTAATCGATGTTTATCATTAACTACCCCAGACTTACTCCTGAAGTTTGACTAGTAAACTTAACTATAAACTGTCGCCGGCAGAAAGTTACATATTTGAATTGCATATGGCTTAGTTATTTACATTTAAATTGAAATGTTCCACTTTTCTCCACTTGCTTCCCGCGGACATTTTATGTCTCGCAATTAATTACTTTATAAATGCAATTTACCGATCGACAAGAATACTGAGCAGTGAAGGTCTAATGAGCAATATCAAAAGTGCACGGGGTTGATTTTCATAAGCACATTTAGAAACTCTATTTTATGAGTTTCTCGTGGTTTATGCTATTTCAGTTCATCTCCAGTTTCTTTTTATAATAATAATTTTATATATGTATCTTTAACTACTATGAACGCTACTACAAGAACCTAGTAAGAGATGTAAAGAAACTTTCATTATTTAGAAATAATACGTATTTTTGATGTTGCCAAGAATATATCAGTGGATATTATGTAAAAAAATATTATTTAAAAAATTTAGAATATAGTCTAAATTTTACTACCTTGTAAAAAAGTCTAAGCAATATCCACGGATCAGAAATTTGCGTGTATAGAAATAACTTATTTATGCTAAAAGCCTACTGCACACCAACCAATACAGCAACGCTTTTTCGTAACAACACAAATTCAACAAACGCAGACCTTTCATTATTATCCCTCGCAAGGGCATATTTTTTCGGGAGTTTCGCATGATATAGCTCAATTTAACCCGCACAAAGTATCGCTTAATCCGGAATTTTCATCAAACGAAAATAAACCGCGTTGCTAGTCGCAAGAATACAAATTATCGTGGTTTTCGTTGGGCAATTTTATTTGGGAAAATGGATTTCTGCAAGCAAATGGAACACCAAAAATCCAAAAAAGAATTATATATATTTCTGTTTGATTAGTTTAATTAATATCTAGTACCTAAATATGTTTCTTAATTCTACCTTTTTTATTGAATATTTTTTTATATTTATAATTATTATTAGTTTCAACTTTACGAGAATATTTTAACAGGAATATTACGAAAAGAAGAACTCGTACATTGGTTGTTTACGAAACTGTTAATTTTTGCCACATTTTGCATTCAGGCAAACTTTTTTGGAAAATGGAAATTTGAGACGAGCAAAAGAGGAGGAGGAAATATTTCAATTTAAATGTAAATAGGAATAGCTTAGCATTTAGTAGTATATCTTTTACGCGGTCGACAGAGGGAATTTAGTTATGTTTAGCCGGAAGTATTAAACGGATTATAGAGAGATGATTTTGGAAAATGTAAAGTGTTTCAAAAGCTTAACGCAGAACTGAGGCATATTTTGGTAAATCTTAATTGTTGTTATGATATTTAAAAACTGCTTAAAATCAACTAAACCTGCGACGGAAATATGCTTAAAAGATTAAACTTTGTTTCAGCAATAAAAGCATCGCTGTTGATTCAAAAATGGTACAGACGATATATGGCTCGGCTAGAAGTTAGGAGAAGATACACCTGGACTATATTTCAAACGTTAGAGTATGCTGGAGAGCAAGATCAAGTTAAGGTAATTAATTTAATACATTCCATTATACTTAATAAATATTAATGCATCTTCCATTGAAACAGATCTGAGCAAATATGGCTTACAACATATTTGTAATATTACTTTTTGGTTTATTTACCAAATTTACGAATTATGAAAAATGTTACCGGCGCGTAAAAAATGATTGATTATACCTTATTTATGTAATTCCTTTAGCTCGTTCTTGCCGAATTTCCACATGCAAATGATCCCCTTTTTTTCTTTTTTACATATATAATACCTTTGACCTTTAACAATTTTCTGTTGTCGTATAAATCAACAGAGTTATTTATGTTAACTGATAATAAATCATGCACGTTACATCCATTACTGCTTATGCCTACGGGTGAATTACGTGATGGATCATTTCACTCTTATCCCATCCAATCCCCAATTCCGCAATTTGCGAAACTGCCTTTTTCATACATACTGCTATAGGTATTATTTGTGCATTTAATTACAAAATAAGTTGGAAACCTTAATTCCTGTACTTCCTTACAGAAATTTACTCATGGTTTTTTCTATTTATTCATGTAAATTAAACGTTAGCTATATTTTGGTTTAGTTAGATCAATAATTTATTAATTACTGGCACTGAGTTACCTCATGGGATACCTCAAATTATCGTACCGCTATTTTACGCGAGACATGAAAAACTCTTTACTTGAATATAATTGAAGTGTACAGGGGAAGAACGACAATAGTCCATCTAAAAGATTATCGAGAAAAATTAAAATATAAGTTTACTTACCCGTTAGAAAGTGAAATTAAAGTTATCTTTTGGCTGTTGTTTTGCGGACTTCAACAATTTTTACTAAATTGTATAGGGATACACACGAATTTTATTTTGTTTCAGTTATATAACTTCTTTAATGCATTACTGACACACATTCCACAAACTGAACGCGATGTCGACTCAAATTCCAGCAATTCGTTAGGTAAGTAAAATACCTTAACTTTTGGTGTCAGTTTGTTGATGTAACACGTGTTTTGGGTCTTTCTGATCTTTGTAAAGTAAAAAGTACACAAAACTTTATTTTCCTTTGTCGGATTAGTGTCGTTGGTTTAGACTCATGTGCATTGCAGCACCTTAATCTCTCTTAAAATAATTAAAAAAAATTGTTAATTAATTTAATGTACTTGTGAAGAAATATTATGTGTACAATACAATTTTTCATAATTCCACTTGTATATCAATTCTACTAAAAGTACTGACAATTTTAAAAATAATGTGTAACTTTTTAGAAAATCTAATTTTGGATTTCGATGAAGAATCTCCCGACGAAGACTACTACGAACCGGAAGAGAAGAAAAAATTATTACGCTTTCAATTGGAATATCCTTACACAGAAAAATCTCTAATACAATTGATAGAAATTTTCAGAAAACATCGAGTGAGTATAGATGAATTCATTGAGTTAATTTTATCATATTATTCATCATTTATATGTTATATTATAATCTTGAAAGCTGTATTATAACTTATTTATATAAAAAATCGGATAATTTAGTACCTTAATTTTTTACCGTCTTCAATTCAATAAATTTTTTAACATCATATACGATCTATCAAGATATTTATAGAAGATAACGTTCGTTAAGCTAGAATCCTGACAGATTTTTTACAGTCTGTCGTTTAACTGTAATATTCCGTGTCGTATATCGTGAACAATCTTGTACTTTTTCAGCATTATCGACTTCCGCCAAAAGATGTGGCTGATATATTGAAGAGGTCGATAATCCATTTAAAAAAGCTTCCAAACGTTAACACAGCCTCTACTGGGATGACGAAACAACTAACTGTATGTGGGGATTTACATGGAAAATTTGATGATCTGTTAGTTATTTTACATAAGGTAAGAAAGAAAAATTCACCTTATACACCAACCGAAAGTACCACTTCAATCTTAAAACACTCTAAATCATTTTACGAGGTCTTTGTTTGCCTAAAAAGCTTTAAAACGATGTAATAATCAACTCACACTTTTAAATTGAGTTCACCAAAGCTTTCTGTCTGGAAAATTGCATCAAAGCCTAAATTGTAGAAGCGAATAGAATTTTCTACTTCGTTTCCAACGTTCAGTGACTTTCAGCAAAACATGTTTACTATTTTATGAGACGGAGTAAAATCAAATTTTATTATACAAAGGAAGACGTGCCATATTTTCCCATCAATTTTCAAAAATCAACGAGCAAGTTTAAACTTTGCTATTATTGATAGATTAATATTGCAGTTATGAAAAATAGGCATAGGCATTCATTTTCCCATATATTTCTTTCAGAATGGTCTTCCTTCGGCAGATAATCCTTACGTTTTCAATGGCGATTTTGTTGATCGAGGAAAAAGAGGTTTAGAAGTGTTTTTGATACTTCTGCTGTGTCTTCTTACGATACCCGGTGGAGTATACCTTAACAGAGGTAATCATGAAGACATCATCATGAATCAAAGGTAGGAATATTATAGAGTACTTTAGAAAGCTTACTCTATAGCTTTGCTATTGTAAAATCCGATTTTTTCATAACAAACAATTTTAAATCAAAAACCTATTGCAAACTTCAGAAGTGTTCGATCGTAAAATGTTTTGTTTATTTACGAAAGATCATTTAAGTGGGTTACATGAAATACAAGCCAGTTTGTTTGTTTTAGATATGGATTTATTCGGGAAGTTCAGTCTAAGTACAAAGTAAGTGTTGTTTGAAAATAGAAAATATCGAATATTTGCTTATTTATCTACATTATTATTGTAGAAAAACCACGAAAAACTACTTAGATTGATTGAAGGAGTTTACAGGTACCTCCCACTAGGAACAATAGTAAATAACCAAGTACTTATAGTTCACGGTGGCATTTCGGACATCACCGATTTAGATACTATCAAGGCCCTAGACAGGGGGAGGGTGAGTAAAAAATTGCATGTCACGTCTGACAAGTTAATCTAGTAACTTGAAAATGCGGGGATGATGTAAATTGACAATCAAATATCGCCGGCGGGAAAACTCAATTTAGCGAGCGATTCCTATCGTTTTAATTGACTGATAAATGAACAAATTACGCTTGATAAGGTATCCTACATCTCCGGCGATATTAACGTCACGGATGCTGCTACATCAGAACGAAATAACGTAATTGCTTAATAGTTCAAATTTTGAAAGCGAGTAGTTCTGAATTAGATTACACCAAGAGTTCCTGTATTGCGTAAATTCCGCTTAAAATTAAGTAAGAAAGTTAAATCGGCGAGAACGTTTTCGGGAACAATAACGTAATTTAATGAACCCAACGGTACAGTAACTTTTGACTTGCAATAAATGCCTAAAGGACTTTCATTTATAAATTTTCAGGTACTCTCTATTATTATGAATTTCTTTAATTCAACGAAACAATAATATAACGAACGTGATTCCACAATTCATTAGATATAACATCATTTATATTGTAAAACTTTTTCCATTATAGATCCTTGATGTTTTCTGCGACTGTTGTCTTGATCGTTGTTTCTACTTCTCGAAATAACGTTATTATTTTAGTTATTAGAAGTTTAGAGGATATTTTGAACAAGTATCTACCTAATACTCATAGCATGTATCGTATTAAATTGCTATTTTCTTTCTTTCTTTTCAAGATTCGTAGAAGTCTAATTTAATTATAATAAGTCTAACAATACCTCAGGACCTTGTAAATAACGGGATCGCCGAGTTGTACCACGGGATAGCAGGTAGGTCTAATCCTACTACCGAGTTGTACCACCGAATTTTCTAATGAGGCTTAACGACTTAAAAAATAAAGCCCGACAATAACCATTAACAATTTTATTATAAATTATAAATTTTAGTGAACGTCTCACTTTGTATATTTATTAGCATGTCTGTGAAAAGAAATATATTTGGGTGAGGAGAATAAAAACTGTTTTTCAGTACCGAATGAAACGACTCACAAGCGTTCGTAGACCTGTACATACTATTGGTGGTACATGCCCAAATTTTCGGAGGAAATCTAGCTTCTTCTGACACATAATTGTCCAATATGTAGTCACAAAATTGTATTACTTTCTCATCATTGGGTAATTTATCTAATATTTGGAATGCGAAAAAATTACCTACTTCGGTAGGTTCCAGAAAGTGTAGGCCGAAGAATAATTTCAAAAACTTACCAATTTCCGAATTTTTTTTTTGTATTCATTAGATAGTCCTAAATTTAAAATTTTACGGTACCACGCTTGGCATATATGCTATCCCGTGGTACAACTCGGCGATCCCGAGCATATTAAGGCCATTAGGGGTAATTACGTCGTGGTACAACTCGGTAGTCAATGTAATCCGGATAAAGAACGGTAAGGGATTAATACAGGTAGTCGTGGTACAACTCGGTAGTCCCCGTAAATAAAATGTAGGTTGTTACTGCGAACTAAAAAACGATATTTTAGTCATTTTTTAATATCAGTTGAAAATTGAAAACAAAAATTACTTTATTGAATATAATATAAGCTATTATAAGCGTAAGGATAGAACATGTATTCTCACATTTCACACTTAATGCGCCTTTTATGCAAATAAAACGCCAATATAAAATATTATAAGAGCCACGACCGATTTTCAGCTTTAATATTAAAATGTAAAATGTCAGCTTTCACGGAGCGTGGTTTCGCTTTGCGCATAAATTTTCCTTCGATTGGCATCAAAAGAAGGTAAACATTTTCCCAAATTTAAAATTCGACCGGTTCACGTTTTGATTGTGGAAACATCGGTATTCCAAGTTATTCATCATGTTCTCGCAAACGGCTCGACTATATTTGCAATTTAAATGTACTCGTTTAAATCCTTTTGTATAAACCAATTTATTTTTTTATAAATGATAAAACTTAAATCTATTCAAAAAATAACTGCTGGTATGGTTCTGATTTCATTCAACGAATTATTTGTAAGATTACTTATCAAAATTATTTTCCAAAAGGCATAAAAATCATTTAAAATTAACAATAAAAATAATTTATTTCAACTATATAATATGCAAAACATTTTTGAGTATGTGTAGTTTTATGTTCTATGCCCAACTATTATCCCTATAAATTCCTCTTCATTGTTATTCAAACGAACGTACATATAATTCGCAAAATCCAAATCTCGTTTCAAGTAGGACTGATTAATTATTATCTCTCTATTGGTCCATTAGATTATATTTTTAATTAAATGCAACCTGTAGGATATCAGCTTGACCATAAGCCCACGACCGTCAGTTCCCACCAATAGAATTTAGGAAACAACAATGTTCATATACATTACATAGGGATTACAAAACAATACCATTCATAAATTTGATATCCCTATTGTTTGTTCTAGTACATATCATTATTAAGACCACCGTTGAGTGACAGCAATGCGCCAGGAGCCGAGGTTATCGACAAAATGGAGTGGAAACAGGTATGATTGAAAATATATACTAGAAGTAATGTAGCCAATTTCAGTAAAAAATACTGTGAACGCAGGAGAACGAGAGGAGCTGTTAGTATAAATAGAAATATTTGTTGAATGCTTCTGGGTTTGGATAAATGCAATTTGTTTAAGCAACTGTACACATTTTACAGGTGTTCGATATTTTGTGGTCGGATCCGCAGGAAAATCAGGGATGCATCCCGAACAGCCTCAGAGGAGCTGGCACATACTTCGGACCCGACGTTACGAAGAATTTCCTAAAGGAAAATAGTTTGCAATATATTATTAGATCCCATGAATGCAAGCCAGAGGGATTTGAAATTTGCCATGATAACTGTGTAAGTACCTACTCTACTGCCTCTCTGTAACAAAGCCTCTCTGTGACAAAAAAAGTATCCGGAATTTCTGATTTAAATTAACTTGCACGTAATATTTTTAGCTATTTCAAGTTTCTGTATGAGCATATTTTGAAGGTGATTCAAGAAAAATTAAAAAAGATTTGCGTTTTATTCCAACCTTCCGGGTACTTTTTTGTCACTGTGTATACCTACTTCAATTAAAACGAAGCTCACAGTAAATTGTTCGGTTTAGATATAAGGATTTAATTAATTATTTAATTTAAGTGCATACAAAAAATATATTATTTATCATTAATAGTGCTTGAAATTCGACGAAATTCCCAAACTTCTGTTACAAGATACATTTTCCAATTAGGTGATATAATTGGAAATGTCTAACAACGCATAAGCACCAACGATATCACAAGAAAATCTTATCGTATTGAATTTTATTTTTAAGCATCTCTATCTGCAGCATTTTCTACGTCAATTAAAGCAATTATAAATTTAGGAGGCTTGCTAAAAACTAAAAAAATCGTATTCGTCGAAGGAAATAAAAACTAGGATTCATATTCCTGATAAGTACTTCGGTATTCAAGCGTGTTGCTCAATGTGGAATTTTTGTTGCCATAAATACCCGGGACGATGAAAATAAACCAAAGTTTTCTAAAGTTTTCTGAATAAATCCTTCGACTTTATGCTTCAATATAGCTACGTGATTTTCATGAGAAATGTATAGCCAAGTCTCGTAATCTCTTCGCGTTAAGCTTTCGAGAGCTGTTTTTAGAGTGCCATAAACCGTAAACGATAAATTAATTGCACGATGACTTAGAAATTATTCACAGGGTGATACTTACATACATTTCGCTACTATTTAACAAAAATATAGGTATAGTCGGTGTCAACAAATATCAATTCACCGTTGACACCGACTACAGATACTTAATTTTTACTTTCGATAAGACATAGGCAACATTGAAGTCTTCATTGCCATTAGAAACTATTACGTTTTATTGATCAATCTAAATTGAAATACTTATATCAGTAAATCTTACCGACATTTATTCCTTATTCTTCTCAATATAAAATAATACCGCTATTTACACTCCCCAAGTCAACCCAAAGTTAGTAAAGTATCGTGACTATAAATTACAAGGTAAATTTAACCGGGCACAGCCCTATATCAGCATCGTAAAAAGGTTTTCGCTGGGTTCTGAGTATTTAAGGAATAATAGGATTTTTAGATTCAAAAACGAATCATTTTATACACTTGATACTGATTAATGGTAACAATAAATAACACAAAGGAAGCTGCCTGTAAATGTAATTCTACCGAAAAAAAAAATTTATTATTTGCTACTGAATATTCACAATTAATTAACCCAAAAATCAAATACCAATATCCGAACGTTTATCAAATTAAGGATCAAACTGTACCAAGATTAAGATATTTATTGCTTCAAAGGCGAACGAAGCTTTTACAATATTAACGTAGGAATACTTATGCTTAGGTTATAACAATATTCTCAGCGTCTAATTACTACGAAGTGGGTTCGAACAACGGAGCCTATCTAAAACTAATGGGTGTTGAGTTAGATACTCATTTCGTTCAATACATGGCAAGTTCAGGCAAACGCAAATTGAATTTATACCAGAGGATGGGTCTCGTCGAATCAGGCGCTTGTAAAGAACTGAAGATGCAAATCATGAACAATAAATATAAACTAGACGAAGCATTCGCAGAGGCCGACCCGGAAAGCACAGGTGAGCAAATTAAATTGCTGTCATTTTATTCCATAGCGTTTGCTTCTTTACACTGATGTGTTTTTATTGCTCCCTTTAGGATATATTTCTATCACTCAGTGGTGCGCTGCTTTGGAAAATGCGACGGGACTTCAATTACCTTGGAGAATGCTCAAAGATAAATTAGTATCAGTCGACCCAGACACGAACAAAGTGAAATATCAAACAACTTTCGACGTTAAAAATGAAAAATTAAACGTAATTTTTTCTCATATTGCGTTCCTATTTTTTTACTAAAAGAACTTTTTATTTCAGTCAGTGCAAGGAGCTCATTCCGTCGTTGAAACTTTATACAGGAACAAAACTAGCTTAGAAGCGATTTTCCATATTATCGATAAGGACAGATCAGGTAAGATTTATGATGATAAAAATAGTAAGTCTATGCATCTTAAGTAGATTATAAAAATGCAAAACGCTACATCCCTGTCGTATTTCAACTAAAGTTTACCCAAGTGCCTTCGACGTGTAGGCAATAGAAAAGCGGATTTGTAATTGTTTTACATTCCTTATACGGATACCGAACATCTTTGTATCGGAAAATATTTGCCAAAGAGCGAATAAGTTACGTTTTTCTTACAGGCTACATTTCGTTGGAAGAATTCTCTGAGGCTTGCAATCTCATAAAAAGCTTCATGCCCTGCCCGATGACCCAGGAGCAACTAAGAGATATCTGCAGATTGATGGATTTGAACAAAGACGGGCAAGTAGATCTCAACGAATTCCTCGAATCATTTCGCATGGTCGATCCGGAGAGCAGGCATAAATATTTGATGGAATCGCCAGAAGTAGCGCGCGATATCCAAAAAAAGGATAACGAAAATAGTATCGTTAATGGTACGAAACCAGATGGCGACGCGCTCGTGCCGGAATATACTCCTTCAAAACCTGAAGGACAAGAAAATGCGACGATGCATAAAAATAATCTGCAATTGTCACCGGTGTTGAGCAGCAGAAGAGGATCGCAGATATAAATTATTTTATGTAACTAATCAAAGACGCGTGGGATCAATATCAATAATAATATCATTTAGTAGGTACAAAGGCAATTGATTGATACAGTTTCTGCATTTCTTCGTTTCTGCATTCATTCTGTATTCTTCTCATATCAGCTGCATTTTCTTCGTACTCCAAAAAAAGGTCGTATTCAATATTTAAAAGCGTGTTTAGAGAAACGCTTAGAGATAATCTCTAACTTTATCCGTAACGAAAAAAGTAAGCTTAAAAGAACATTGTCTCTAAACTCTCACTAGCAACAATCGCTGAATACGAAATATCCTGGAATGTAGCCTAAAGCAACTACATATTGCTGTCTTCTCTTAAATATCTCTAAAATTCATATATCCTTCTCAAATTGTATCAAATTTCAAAAAACCAACCAATCTTCAATGTTGAATTCAATCCCTAAAATAAATGTGTAATGGTTGTCAATTTTCTTATACGCTTATATCGAATGTAGTCGCATGAGCTTACAATAAATTTATTATAAAGTAGATGTAAAAGAATTGATTCGATAAGAAATGCGACTAGAGATTTGGTGAATAGATTTAAGGATTATTAAATTTTCATAGACTACATTTATATCGAAGCGTTCGATCGTATTGAAAAAATATAAATATTAATTCCATTATTCGAAAGTATCAGATCGGAATTATGATACAAAATATGAATTCGAATGTCAAAAAAATCTCCAGTCGGTTTGAAAAGGTTCTAAAATTCCATTAACTCGTAAACTCCATTAACACTGCGACATAAACGTAGTCATAGATGCTATTTCGATAGTAAAATAAATATCTTCTACCATACATTTTACAAAAGCAAAAAAAAATATTTTTTAATGTTAATAACGTTAAAATTGTGCATTTGTGTACAATGGAATTCCTTCAAAGAGCTTCAATAATCCCAAGTCTTTAAGCGTTTTTAATATCTTTAACATATCTAAAATAAGAGAAAACAATGGCTGTTGAAATTATTATTATTGCTTAAATCAGCTATCATTATAATATTTTCAAAACTTTGTTAAAATTTAAGTAAAAAATATCTTTTATTGACAACAAGAATATAGTTTATACTTTCTTTTTAATAAGTTCTAAATAAGTTTAGTTCCACATACTATCTGAATACTCTTTCTTGTAAGACAATACAATAATTCTAAAACGTTTACCTCGAGTGCCAATTATCGAATATTCGTTTCTGTAACTTCTGTAAAACATTTTTTATACTTTTATTATTTGTATATAAAATAATTCCTAGATATCTTCCAATGAGTATTTATGATTTGATTTATGGAAAATAAGTATATTAAACTTAAGCAATAATAAAATTATTATATTAACAGCCTTAAATTTAATTAAATGTGAAACTGTTAATGTCTGTAGGTTCTATTATCGTATGTTATTTACTTAAGATTCTAAGAATTTCAACCAATAATGACCCGTCCTAAATGTAAATATTTAGTTGGTAATATATTGTTTCTTATATTTTTGCGATTTTTGATATCAATGTATATGTTTATTTTTAAATTATTCATAAAATTTTGTTGGTTAGGTAAAGAGCGTTGAAACCCCAAGAAACAAGATGAATTTTTATTTTTGATACTTTTAAAACAACGAAATCTCTCAAATTAAATTCTTCCTATTCCCTTGAAAGTGACCGTTAACTGTCTAGAATGTTATCTTATTAGAATTATCCTTTCCACAGTTCATGTTGTAAAATTCTGTTCTTTAAAACCAAACCTTCTTGAATGTAAACCACTTTACCAAAATAGTACAACTTCCACGAATACGAATGGATGGTCAAGGGGAAAAACGAACATTCCAAAAAATATATATTTTATAAATTTCTGGTACCATTGTGTATAGAGTTTGAGTCTTCAACAAAACAGTTCTGAAGCAGGATAATTTGCCCTAGTCCCATATTAATCACAGCTTCAATTTTTTAATAAAATATTCAAAAGCACATTATCTCATTATTGTCCAAAACATTGTTCAAGATTCTGAATCGTTCGACCCCTGGATTCATATTTCCAAAAAATACAAATGACTCAGTACAACTGTTAGATGTGACAAAAATCATAACATAATTGAAAAAATATATATGTATAACAGAAATATTTATCAATGTTATTAACCAACAAAGTTTATTGTAATGTTGAATGTAATAAAATGTTTTAGATTCAGATGTTCAAGTTGTTAGCAAAACTTTCCTATTATGGATTCCCTATATTTAAAATTAATTTTTACGCTTTGCGATAGTTCAGTGCATTTTTATATGCAGTACGTACTCTTAATTTTTCGACAGTAGTACTAAGTTTAAAAATTATTTATTAGTAATTCTTTGAATATTATTTACCGATTACATTACCTCTTTATTAAATTTAAGACTGAAGAATCTTTGCAATGAATCTCTACTTTCTAAAATTAAATAATAACCGAAATTATTAACGATTTACCTATTTAACTTTAATATTTAGTTTTTTGGGGACCATAAAAACCATATTCTATCGATGTTTTATTCCGATGAAGAATTCTATATGTACTGTTACGATATTAAAATTAATGTGCAATAAGTGTTTGATTTCATCACCTACATACATACAAGAAAATATGAAAAGTACAAATGCTAAAACACTTTAAAACGTCCCACTCGATTTTTTTTGGTCCTTAATAAAATTATTCAACAAAACTATTAATTTTCTTCCACTTATTATTATTTTAACTCATAATAATTGTGAATATTGCAGAAAACCTTCATTTAAATTAGTGGGTACACTAATAGAGCATATTAGAGAAAATTATCCACTTAGCGCAAATTTTCATCTTGAGGAACTCATACAAAATAATATTAGTGTAGAAGTAGTACTAAATTTCGTTTGAAGCGTTTTGTTGAAACTTGTCCCAATGTATTTAATTTTTGTTATATCAATTTTTACAACAGTTTGTTCAACGCAAAATCTCACAAATAATGGGGGTAAAAGTTACTTTTTCAAAATGGGAAAAGCTAGCAACGAGTTTCGTGTAAATAACCGCATTATGTACCTTAATCATAATATTACTGATTTGGAATTACCAGTCATAGAAAGAAAAAGAGCTCAACAAACGGCCAAATTACATCCCAAAGTAAGTATTATGCATATTTCATTACCAAATTAAGATTTATTCATTGCATTCTTCTGGTTATCGCAGCAAGAATTCAACATATACTTAGATGAAGAATGGAACTACGATCATAATAAAAATTTTAGTAAATACCACCTACCTATGTTTGTTAACAAATTTTACGAATCTGCCAGTGTTGACCCGAATCCAAAAATAACGACAAGAATTTTATTCAACACTAACAGGAATACAACCAATCTAATAATTAAGTTTAATTTGGAGAGTCTAAAAAACGAAGATTCGACTATTGAGGATGCCGATTTATATTTTTATTGGCCGCTAAAAAATAATTCTAAGATATTTAGGGAAGCGGTGGTATTGCGTCTGTATCAAATCGAAAAAAGCAAAACAGGAGAGTTTAATCAGGCGGATTTAGTAGGCAATCCGGACACTCATAAACTTTTTAATGTTATTTACGTTTCCAAAGCTCATAAAGGTTGGCAGGTGAGTAAATTAATTATAAGAATTTACGACTCTCTCTTCGACAATCTGTTATAAATTAATTTTAATTTTATTCAAAACTTTAGTTTTTGTACTGTAAAGCTTGTAAACAGCAAGTTTTGTAATTACTTTTGCAGATGTTCAACGTGAAAAAACCGATTGATAATTGGCTAAAAGGCGAAGAGAACCTTGGATTGATTTTAACCATTTCGAATTACGATACTAACGAAACTATAGAAATATTTAACGATACCAATATAGGCAATTTCACTACATTTATTATAACAAAATCGCGAACTAACGGTAAGACAAATTCGAACATAAAACAAATTTTTCATGAATACAGGGTGATTCAGGTTTTATCTGGATGACTTTGGGAGTTGATAGAACTTGTTAAAATAATGTTAGTTCGTAATATATTTTTTTAAATAGTTTCGGAAATACCGGGCATTGAAGTTGCATATTTTTTATTATTTTACTAAAATTATTTTTAGATGTACTATCAACTCCCGAAGTTATCCAGATAAAATCTGAATCATCCGTATAATTATTTTTAGACTCGTTAACCAACAATACAGAAAATAGAACTGTTATCAGTCCAAACTACACGTCTTCCGAATGCCAAAGGGAAGGTTGGAATGTCGACTTCAGTACAATGGGATGGAATAAATTCGTAATATCTCCTGAGGAATTCACCGCTTACGATTGTATTGGAAAATGTACCAAGTCTACCAGAACTGACGAAAATCATTTCAAACTTTTGCACATGTTCCAAAAAAGAACCGGTTGTTGTGTACCAACCAAGTACTTTCCTCTAACTATGATGTTTTTCGATAGATACGGCGACATTGCTATTAAAAATTACGATAAAATGATTGTAGCAGAATGTGGATGTAGATAAAACGATGAAGAATAATATATCAAATATTTATTTGAAAAAATTTATTTAGCCATTATTAGCCATGAAACCCACGAAGACTGTTTTGCATACTTTAACGATAATTTTTTTTCTATTAAAAAACATCAACAACCCATGCTTCACACTTCTTATTGGTACAGAATGTCGTAGTGACCAGGACGGTATAATAAATGAACTGTGGGCGAAGTCCCTTCGGGTAGATCGTGTTCAGTGCAGGCTTTTCCTATGCCTCTGTCCATATAAATGACTTTGACACCGGTTTGTAATGCTGCACACGCTGCAATTATGTGGATGTGATCGCTTTCTTTATACATCGGTTCCACCTCCTGATGGCAGAAATCTGCTACCTAATTTATTAATAAATTTGTCAAAAGAAGTGTAAGTACAAGGGTGAGGTGAAAAGTTCTCGGCCCGACGATGAAAGACCGCGTTTTTCAGTTGAAAAAATTCATTGTTCTTCTTATTTGGTCAAAATCTTTAGTTCAAGACAGTTCTGATTGATTCTGGAGCGTTTTAAATGATCCTGGAGCTTTCTAAATAAATTTAGAGTCTTCAATGGTTCTAAAGCATTCCAAATGGTTCTAGACAGTTCTAAATGACTGTGGAGTGTTCTAAATGGTTCTTGAGCATTCTAAATGACTATGGAGCGTTTTAATTGGATTTAGACTGTTTTAAATGTTTCTGAAGCATTCTAAATGGGTCTAGACAGTTCTAAATGATTCCGGGGCGCTCTGAATGGTTCTTGAGCATTCTAAATGACTATGGAGCGTTCTAGAGAATTCTAGACAGTTCTAAATGATTCTGGAGCGTTATAGATTGTTCTAGACAGTTTTTAAATAATTGAGGCCAAGAATTTTTCACCCTACCCTCGTATGATGGGTCGAGTTACTACTACTACTACTACTAAGAACGCAGGCGAACCTTGGTAGAGAATTTACTTACAGTTCTATCGCCTTCGATGAAGCAGCTATAAAAGTCGTGTTCTTTTTGTAATTGTCCACTAGTAAGGAGTCGAAGATAAACTACCATGTAATCGGAAAAACCTTGTTCATTAAATACGGAATGCAGTTCTTTGTATGCTTCACTGAGATTTTCGATATTTTTTAGTCTTTTAAGCACTTCCATATACTGCAAAATAAGAAACTGTTACAACCAAACTGATTGAGAAATCTCTCTAATTTTTTGCATGCTAATTAAGAACAGTGTTACCTACACACAGAAACTTGAAATAGTTAAAAATATTAAGTGCAGCTAATTTAAATCAGAATTTCCGGGTACTTTTTCGTCAAAAGGTAAATACTTAATAACAGTCTAAAGATTTACCGTATCGTAGAAGTCATCAACGGTGAGTTGTTGGAATCCCAACTTGACTAAACCATCTTTACTATTTTCAGCTACTTTGTAAAAAGCTTCAAATTCATCGGGCTTACCGAGCAGTCTTTCAATATTAGCGTAACTAAAGGCCCTGAAAAAGCAATTACCGTCTGGCCTAGTTCGCCTAATAAATTTATATTTCGTAGCGAGGTCTCTGACTTTTTCTAGGTAAATGTTGTCGGCGGAATATTCATTATTTAATGATGTTATTAATTCTTTGTCGCCCACTAGAGGAATCGAGTCTGAAATCTAAAATTGTTTATTATAAACATAACCTCGTTTTTCACACAGAATTTACTACCTCTTTTTCGATCTGCCGTTGCTGCGCTAGGATCAACTCGTCTTGATTAGGCTCCGAAGTAGAATCAGATTTATTCATATTTTCACCTTGTTCTGCCATATGTTGTTTAAATAAAACTTTATCAAGGGTTAAAATACCTACCAAGAATACCTACACTTTTGACACCCCCTGAATATTCACAAATTACCATGGAACATTTTTTTTTATTAGTACAAGAAAGAACACACATAGAACATTAAACGCGATGGACATGCAAAAATGGCTACTCTACTTCACCAATCCTAAACTTGGTAAATATTCTAAAATATCTAAAATATTCTGATTTTTGTTACTACGAATTTGCAATAGAATCTGTTTATATTCCATCCACTCTGAGAACTACATAAAAACTAAAGATTATAAAGGCTTTTATAGCCAGTGTTACAAAGTGATGCTGTGCGTCCTTAAATGATGAGATACAAGAATAGAATAGAGGAAAGAAGAACAAATAACATAACCTTAAACTTAACCTCCTGTAAGATTGAGGTTATATTTCCTTAAGGTGCTGTTGTGCTGTTGATCAAACTGTTAATAAACATGGTTCGTAAGAAAATAGATAATAGAATTCGAGTTCTAATTGAAAATGGAGTCAAAGTGGGCCACAGAACGCTTTTCGTTATTGTCGGCGATAAAGGAAGAGATCAGGTAAATTTGTTTTCGAAGCACATAAGTTGTAAATTATAAAATTCCCTAATACTTTTAGGTGGTTATTTTGCATCACATGTTAGCTAAAGCTGAAGTCAAGGCTAGGCCGTCAGTTTTGTGGTGTTACAAGAAAGAATTAGGGTTCAGTAGCCACCGAAAGAAAAGAATGAAACAGATCCAACAAAAAATGCAACACGGCAAATTAAGTGTTAACGAGGACGATCCCTTCGAATTGTTCTTGGCTTCGACGAAAATCAGGTTTTGTTACTATTCCGAAACGCAAAAAATCCTCGGTAACACCTACGGTATGTGCGTTCTGCAAGATTTCGAGGCTTTAACCCCCAATTTATTAGCTCGAACGATCGAAACCGTGGAAGGCGGCGGTTTAGTCGTGCTATTACTAAGATCGCTCGCTTCCCTAAAACAGCTCTACACCATGAGCATGGATGTTCATCAAAGATTTCGAACGGAAGCTCACCAGGACATCGTTTGCCGATTTAACGAAAGATTTCTGCTATCGTTAGCTTCGTGTAAACGTTGTCTCGTAGTCGACGATCAACTTTCGGTACTTCCGATTTCTTCTCACAATTTACACGTTACTCCAGTCGAGAACGTACAAGAGGTCGACGAAAGCATGACTGAATTGAACGATTTGAAAGAACAACTGCGAGATACGCAACCGGTAGGACAGCTAGTTAATCTCTGCAAGACGTTAGATCAAGCTAAATCTTTACTGAAATTTGTCGAAGCTATATCCGAAAAAACGCTAAGATCGACGGTCTCTCTCACAGCATCGAGAGGTCGAGGGAAATCCGCTGCTTTGGGTTTAGCCGTGTCGGCGGCAATTGCTTTCGGTTATTCGAACGTGTTCGTCACGAGTCCCAGCCCGGAAAATTTAAATACTTTCTTCGAATTCGTTTTTAAAGGTTTTGACGCCTTGGAGTACCAGGAACATATCGATTATGGCCTCGTGCAGAGCACCAATCCGGAATTCAATAAAGCTATCGTTAGAGTAAACGTGTTTAGAGATCATCGACAAACAATTCAGGTAATTAGTCATTTCATTAGTTAAAACTGAGCTTCGGAGGACATACCTTTATATGAACTTTTCGACTCAAAATTAGCTCAAGAAACACCCATTAAAATTATTATATTGCATTAAATAACACCCTGTATATCCTAATTTCAATTAAATTTTTCAGTATATCCATCCTACCGACTGCCACAGACTCACCCAAGCAGAGCTGTTGGTTATTGACGAAGCCGCTGCGATTCCATTACCGTTTGTAAAAGCAATGTTAGGACCTTATTTAGTATTTTTAGCATCGACCATCAACGGTTACGAAGGTACCGGCAGGTCGTTATCTCTAAAATTGTTAAATCAGCTTAGAACCCAAGCAACTCCTATCGGAGCGAACACTAATGCTGTGAATAAAAAGGATTCGGGTGCCGCTATTGGAAGGACACTGCATGAGGTAAGTTCTCACATACAGTGTGTCTCTAGAGGATGGCCCATTAGAAGTATCTGGGAAAGTAGTGGTAATTAAAATTTGCAAATTTGTCTACAAATGTTAGTCGATGCGCTCTATTCAATGAAAATATTTTCATTGATATTTCTAATGGGCCATTGTCGATACACACATTGTATTTGCCACAAACTCCTCTTGCTTCATGTAATTTGTTATTGTAGGTTACACTAAACGAATCGATTCGTTATAAACCAGGAGACGAGGTGGAATCGTGGTTGATAAAATTGTTGTGCTTAGATTCAACGTCTGTAACTCCAATTTTGTCTGGGTGTCCTCCCCCCGACAATTGCGACCTCTATTACATAAATAGAGATACTCTGTTTTGTTATCACAAAGCATCTGAAGAGTTTTTGCAAAGACTGGTAGCTCTTTATGTAGCTTCCCATTACAAAGTAAGTATAGTATACTTAATTATTTTAGTAGTTTTATTATTTAAGTTATTCATCGAATAACTATATATAGATTTATTTGTCGTTGGTTAAACCGGACATTAATGAATTTATTTAAACAGAACTCGCCTAACGACCTCCAAATGATGTCCGATGCGCCGTCGCATCATCTGTTCTGTTTGTTGGGTCCCGTAGACCCGAAAAGAAGAACTCTACCGGAAGTTTTGGTGATAATTCAAGTATGCCTCGAAGGGGAAATCTCGAAAAATTCCGTCGTGGAAGGATTTTCCAGAGGCAAGAGAGCTGCAGGTGATCTAATTCCCTGGACTGTTGGACAACAGTATCAAGATACAGATTTTCCCAAACTGGCTGGGGCTCGAGTAGTGAGAATTGCCACGCATCCTGACTATCAAGGGGTAAGATATACATTTTTGTAGATGCAAATTTATACAGTGTGTCTCAAAAAGTTGTATACAAATGGCGGAAAAGTTTATTTTACATTTCACAAAAAAAAATATTCTTGATAAAATTCTCTGCATGACTTGTATATCCACAATCAGGTATAAAATGTTTAAAAAATTGCCTTGAATACAGGGAAAACAAAAAAGAATGATCTTTCGTTTAGAACTGTATAACATACTGTAAAAAAGTGCTAATGATTTACTGGAATTATTTTGTTCGTTTTACGTAGATGGGTTATGGAGCTAGAGCATTGCACATCTTAAAACGTTATTATGAATTCAAAATACCGAATTTGGAGGAAGATGCGCCTTCGGCTAAACAAGAGATCGATAACGTCGATGATTCTGAAGTGAATTTGTTGGAGGAAAACGTGGAGCCCAGGAAAACTTTGCCGCCGCTGTTGCTCAAGTTGAGCGAAAGACCTCCGGAGAGATTGGATTACATCGGCGTTTCCTTCGGATTGACGGAACAACTTCTAAAGTTTTGGAAAAAAGCCGGGTGAGTTATATATTTTTTTTTACTTTTAACCTTGTTTTGTATTATTTTTTTAAATTTCTTAAAAAATTGTGGTTAAAATGCCACATTTTTCTACTAGTTAAAATAATGCTAGCAGAAAAATGAATATGGCAACAACGGAATAACTTAAAGCTATAAAATGTGAGCATTGGAACGAACAAAGACAATGCATAATTTCTATACGTTGGTTCTATACATTAGGCGGGGACCAATAGATTTTATTATTTCCTCCATTTTTATCGAATTCATTCGAAATCTTTTATTAAACTCCCATTAAGCTTCCTCCTCACTGTCGCTAGACCACATTTTCTTTTAAATTTACAAGAAAATCGGATGGTGACAGGAAATCAAGTCCCTGTCGTTTTACACTAATATATGATAGGAGTAAATGACAAGTTTTAATTTATTTATTTTTTTATGAAACGCAAACGTATTTACAATTGTAAAATAGACTTGTAATATTAGACAAGTCACTTGTCACTAATAATCTACTCGTGTAATTGTATGAAACACAAACTTGTCAAATACTCCTGTCAAATTTAGACTACACTTGTCTGACAGGACTTGTCAGTTATATGAAACAGGCCCCTGGTGGCCATGAACTCCTCGAATACTCGGTTAGTGAAAAAAAATCGCGTAGTTGTCGGTAGATGGCGTTGGTTACGCGCCGATACTGAAGCCGCAGCGGATGGTTTGATGTAGCGTCGCCGACGAAATAAAATCATACTTACCTGGCGTAGGGGTTACCGTGATCAACAAGGCGGTTCCCCCGAGGTGAGGCCTTCCCATTGCACTGAGGTTGGGCTGACCCTTGCGATTATCCCTAATGCGGATAACTCGGGCGCGTAATTTTTGTTAGTCGGGACTGCGTACGCGCTGTCCCGGTGTTAAATAATCCAAACAGAAAATTTTATTGTTAAACTGGTTTAAGGGTTAAGGGTGCGTTTACTGACAAATGGCGCCAACACTTGACATTTTTCTTAATTTCTAACCCATTTCTATATTTCTTCTCTTTTAGTCGTTTCGTTCAAGATTGACATTTCTTTTCTAACCAAAAAAACGTATGAGATTTATTAATTTCACGCCTAGAGAACAAAATTTGTTGCTCTCACTGATTGGAAAATTCCAGAAATATGTTAGATTCAGACGTTTCAATACAAATATTTTGACTTTTATATTTGCTAATAAAGCTTTAACTGCAGAAAATTCGTTACTTATGAAAGGGCACTATAAAGAATGCTTAAAGGTATATTAATATGTGGTGCAACGAGCCCAAAACGTTAATGTACTATTAAAGCTCCATTAGCTTAAAGGTACAAAAAAATAGTCGGTGCAATCGGCCGTTAATCTATTATTCAGTATTTTTATATCTGACTTTTCAAATCACTAGTGGTATAGAGCATAGTGGTAATAAACTGCTAACACTAACACATAGATAACAAGTGAGATGAACGTATGGAAACTAGAGTGGTTTATGTTTATGATGTAGTTGTTTAATTTTTTTTCCATTGACTTTTCAACAAACGCCACTGTCACAGAAATTCACAAAATTCAAGAAAAATTTGCAGTAATTAAGCGAAGAAAAAATTCGTAACAAAAAATGTGTTCATTTCCTTGTTGCCCTCCACCTTGTGGACCTCCCTGCGATCCGCCGTGCTGTTCTCCTCCGTGTTGTTCTCCACCGTGTTGTGCTCCACCGTGTTGCCCGCCATGCACTAATCCAGGTTGTTCCACGTACGCCAACGTTTGCTCTCCCTGTTGTCCGGGGGATCCGTGCAAGGACGGCACCAACCCCGGACCCTGTCTACTTTGCCCGGCTTGCATCAAAGTCACCGACATGACGGAGGAAATGCAAAGGGACGCGACCTGCACCGCCCAATGCGCCCTCGCTATGTACACGGTCGAAAAAGACATCGCTTCCTACATCAAGAAGGACTACGACAAGCGTTTCTGTCCCAGCTGGCATTGCTTCGTCGGAAAGAATTTCGGTTCTTACGTCTCTCACGAGACCACCACTTTCATCTACTTCTTCATCGGCGAATTGGCGTTTGTGCTTTACAAATGTGGTTGAGAGCTGTACATGTAATTGTATGTTTGCACAAATGATTCGAGCAGTTTTGGTACATCTTCTGCAATGTATTTTTTAATCATTTAACGTTGAGAGTATAAAAGTAATAAATCAGGGAGAATTCGAACGTGTCTTGTTATTTATTAGGAGAACTCGTTATTTTTGTAATTGCAACTAACAATTCTTCATAGGTCATACCAATGTGTGGTGGAAGGATTAAGATTTGTGCCAAAATATCCATCTATTATTGAGCTAGAAAAGCTCATTTGGGCCAATGTGCGGAAATTTTAGAAAATATGCAGCCCTTTTTTCTGATTGATACCAGAGCGACTCATTTGATTCGATATGTATGCTTGAATCAATTGATTTATTAAAATAATTTGCAGCTTTGTACCTGTTTATCTGCGACAAACAACGAACGATTTGACCGGCGAACATTCCTGCATTATGCTGAACGTTTTGAATACCGACGAAGTGAAACCTGAAGATTGGCTGGCGGCGTATTGGACGGACTTTCGAAGACGATTCGTTAATTTGCTGTCTTATCAATTCAGCAAATTTTCACCTAGCTTGGCATTGGGAGTTTTGTCGAACAAAACGGTTAAACTTAGAACTAAAGGTAAAAATATTTACGAAATTTCTCGTGTACTATCGTTTAAATTTTATTTAAAAATTTCAGATCTAACCAAATCCGAATTGGACATTCACTTCATGAAATACGACTTGAAAAGGATGGAAATGTACAGTAACAATTTAGTGGACTATCATTTAATAATGGATTTGATGCCAACTTTGTCTAAACTCTATTTTCTCAACCAATTGGGCGATATGCAGATGTCCGCAGTTCAATCAGTAAGTCAACTAAAGTTAGTACGTTTTAAAATGACAATGACGTCACAAACCAGCATGATGCAACGTTGCCGGGTTGTAATTTAAATCCTTTATATGACAGATATATTATTATCTTATGTAATAATTGTTATTCTTTAGGCCATACTGCTGGGACTCGGACTTCAACATAAAACTGTAGATACATTAGCTAGCGAATTGGATCTTCCAGCTACGCAATTATTGGGTCTTTACAATCGATTGATCAGAAGATGCAGTCAATATCTCAATCGGGCGCTGGAAGAAGACATAGAAAAAACTTTAGTTCCTCGAATAGAATCGGATGAACTGAACATGACGCCCGTAGCGAAGAGTATGCACGATGAGCTCGAAGAGGCCGCCCAAGAATTTAAAAAGAAACAGAAAAAAGAATTGCAGAAATTGAAAAATGAGAATTTGGAACAGTTTGCCATCAAAGGAGGAGAAGACGAGTGGGCGAAAATTTTATCTAATAAAGGAAAAAAGAACATAATCACTGTTAAAAGGTGAGTCATTCGTTACAATTAACCAAACAAATTTAACGCCTTAAACTAAAAAAAAATGGTACATCTATACAGGGTGTCCCACGAGTTAAAACCATCTGTAAATGGGAAACTACTTATCCGATTTCATTAATTAGTTTCCAATATACAGACAGTTTAAGCTCGTCGTGAACCCCTGTATACATATCTCTTCTTTTGTTTTAGCATAAATAATGAAACTTAGCCTTTGATAAAGCTTTTTGTAATAAGTCAATATTTTTTATTGCAGTGGAGAAAAGCGAATGCACGAAAATCAGGAGGAAGATATTCCAGATATAAAAGCAAAAAAAGTTAAAAACAAAAAGAAAATCAAATAACTTACTTAATTTGTTCGTTTTATAAGTTTAATTCCTTCTGTTATTTACAGATTTGTTAATTATATTTTTACGAGAACCCAAATATGTAATAAATTTGACACGTCGAAATTTAATTTTTATTTAAATAATCTTCGTATAATTTAATTAAAGATAATGGCGTCCTTGGTGTAATCAACGTTAGAGCTTTTTCGAAATGCCTTCTCGAGACGAATTCGCTTTCCAAACTTTCTTCCAGAGCCAACATGGCGGCTTCGTGACAAACTGCGTTTATTTCAGCTCCAGAATAATTTTCTGTTTCCGATACTAAAGTATCAATATCTACACCAGAAACCTAAAACAGTAAACCTATTGTATTTTTTATCATTTAAATAACAATTTAAAAATTACAATGGCCCGTATTCAGCGCTTTTACTTTCTTGTACGTTTGATTTTATGTCAAGTGTAATCAAACACGGAACATCTACTAGTGAGTTAAACTAATCTCATCCCATCTATTGTGGAAAAAATTATCCAAAAATAGTTCTATATTACCCCACGAATTATGAATTTCAGGGCGTGCTTTGGCGGCCTTAACTTGACAGATTTACATTGTTGTTATGGAGTAACTAGGGACTCGAGATGCGACTTTAGAGTCACTCTAAAATTAAACAGAGGCGCTAAATACGGGCCATTGGCTATAATCTTTCGATGAAAGCCATTGTAAATTTTTAAATTGTCAGTCATACTGTATAGTGAACAACATACGGGCATTTTCGACAATTTTATTCGGAATATATCTCGCCTAGTTTGTTCGTCCGGTAGGGATACATAAACAATTCTGTCCAATCTCCCGGGCCTTAGAAGAGCTTTATCAATTCTATCGGGTCTGTTGGTCGCTGCCAAAATGGTAACATCCTGCAGAGGAGTTACTCCATCCAGCTCTGTCAGTAATTGAGCCAGGACTCTTTCCTGCACATTGGCTCCTGAATTACTGCCACGTTCGCCACCCAAAGCGTCGATTTCGTCGAAAAATATTATCGATGGTGCTACTTGCCTGGCTTTTCGAAACACTTCTCTAACGGCCCTTTCCGACTCGCCCACCCATTTACTGAACAGTTCGGGACCTGGACAAAAAAAAGGAACATGCAGGATTAGCGGATTAGTCCATTTTTCGTTGTGATAAAGTTCGTACGTTTTAAAAATTGCCATTTTAAAATGTACGAACTTTATATTATTTACCTTTGATAGACAAAAAATTCAATCCGCTTTCGCAAGCTAGAGCTTTAGCAATCATAGTTTTTGAACAACCTGGTGGACCAAACATTAGAACACCTTTTGGGGGTGTAACGCCTAATCTTGTGAAACTCTCGGGGTATTTTAAAGGCCATTCGATAGCTTGTTTTAAAATAGTTTTTAAATGTTCCTGTCCGCCGATATCCGACCATTTAACATTAGGGATCTGAAATTAAATATTAGTGAATATCTACTATACAGAGTGTCCCACATTAGAATCGACACAGACTAGGGGCGTGTAGGGGAGCTTAAAATAAGTTGTTTAACCCAAGTTGACTTAATTCAGCCTACTTTGCCAACTATTGAATTATTTAGAAATGCCTAGATCGATCTAGAACGCTCCAGAATCATTTAGAACTGTTTAGAACCATTTAGAACGCCCCAGAATCATTTAGAACTGTCTAGAACTATCTTGAACGCTTCAGAATCATTTAGAACTGTTTAGAACCGTTTCGACTAGTTTGACTAAATCATTTCTGTACCATTTACTTTAATTATTCGAATCGTCTCCTTGCAAGGAAAAGATTATGAATATATGGATCATTATTTTTTGTAATTTATAACTCCACCTCGAAGGCCTATAGCTTCTCAGGAACGTAACTTTGTATTAATTTAAATTGGGTCAAACAATGTTGGGCTCCCCTATTCCGCGTCGGTTCTTATGCGGGACACCCTGTATAATAATATCGGAGGTATACTTCAATTTGTACTTCTCGCATTGCGCTCGGTCTGACTCGTTTCAACGCATACTCAAAATCTTCTTTAGTTAGACTCGATTTATTTCTTCTATTTGCATTCAAAGTTGCCATAGAGCACAAAGAGACCAGGTCCGATCCCACGAACCCGTGGGTATTCGAGGAGACATCTTGGCAAAGTCGTTTGTCCAAATCGATGTTTAATTGTTCGAAAATATTGTCCAAAATGGCTTGTCGAGATTTCGGACCGGGAGTGGGAATTTCGATTTCTCTGTCCAATCTACCGCACCTTCTGAAAGCGGGGTCGATATTATCCGGTTTGTTCGATGTCGCAATGAAGAAGACTTTTGCTCTTTGACTGTGCACGTCATCGAACAGCTTGAGCAATAAGCTGTTTGTTTTCTTCTCGATTTCAGTCAGGCGGCTGTTTTTAGAGGGGCAAATGATATCGAAATCTTCCAAAATGACTAATGTAGGAGCTTTATCGACGGCTTCTTCGTACAACTGCTTGATATATTTCTCCGCGGTCGAATTATTAGAGAAAAGTTCCAACGGGCTCAATCTCAGCAAATTCACCTCCGATTTTGATGCGATGTAGTTAACAATTGAGGTTTTCCCTGTTCCGGAGTGTCCGTAAAGCAGTATACCTTTAATTCGAGTCCGATAAAGGGACTTTTCCAGACAAGCTGTCATCAATTCTTCTATTTCTACTATTTCGTCTTCGACGCCTGCTGGTCGGTCGCATTTTTTGTTTTCAATGCTTTCTTGATAATTGTCGTTGTTCCTAAAAATTATGATTTAGGTAAGAATTCTAGGGATAATGGTTATACTGTATGTCTAAAAAAGTTGGCAACATATCGGAAACTTATTTTTTATTTGTAATGCTACGAAAAAAAAATAATCTTTATCAAAAGTCCTGCATGGCCAATAAAGTAAAACGCAAATGTCAGATGTCATTTTTTTAAATCGTATACGACGTGACGATGTCAAAAAATATGAATTTGATACAAGAATAAAGTACCTTTATTTTTTACGATATCGAAAACTTTAATTATGAAAAGTAGTATGTACTTCTTGAAGTACAATTACTAGCGTTTTCAATTTTAGTTCCATTAGATACATTTACATTTTAATTTCAATGCACACTAACTAGATGGAATGTATTATTTATTTCTCGAAAGCATTTACTAGACTGACTTTCGGTAAGAGAAATGTCATTGTCAGAGTCACCTAGATTTTAAATTATTTCGGTTATTTCTGTGTATTACCGTAGAAATTACATTATTCTGTTGGGTATTACTTATGTATTATTGATTTAGGTTCATTGCTAAAATATTTCAAAACAACTAATGAACATTTGAGGTGTGTTGACTTGTTAAATAAGATAAAAGTTGAAGTGTTTCACGACTAAAATTTGCAAAATTTAAGTTGAAATTCAAGTGGCCAAAATATTCCAAAATAACCAGTTATAACCAGTTATTTTGGCTGTTATCTTTGATCAACTCATAGATATGACCATATTGCAAACAAATTTGCACTTATCCGTTTCAAAAAGCTGTAATTGTTGGCAGTGACATTGCTCGATTTATTTTTTAGCCAATCAGAGTGCTCGATTTTCAGAAAAAAAAATTCCATACTTATGACAAATCCATTTTGTTTTAGAAACAACTTCATAAAACTCGCATGCATTTCGATCTCCCAAATCCATTTTCTTTAAACCTTCTTCAATTGTACCTTTATTAGAATTTATGGAAACTATCTGGAATGCTAATTCTTTTCCGTAAAACATGATTTTTATTTTGTTGCCAACTGTCAAAAACTTTTTACAAAAGCTATTAGATAGTCGGCTATGGAGTTCTGGAGTAAATTCCAACGTTTTGGGAGAATTTAAAGTTACAAGTGAAATCGATGATGCTTCGTTACCAGGACAGAGTTTCCTGAGTGTTATTCGTTGGCCAGGTTTGAAGGAACTTAGTTCTAAACCTAAAATAAAAATATTGAGAAATATACAGGTCGATTCATTTTAGTTATTAGTTTGCAATATAGGTTATATAAACTGTGGGTGCGATAAAGACAACTTCCATTAAACACATAAAGAAAAGAGAAAGAGTGATTGCAACGATTGCAATTTTTCACTCATTTAGCTGTCATTTTAGTAATCTCTCTTTGTTCAACTCATAGAAATGACCATATTGCAAACAGAAATGAAATTGAGAAGAGATTTAAAGATTGTTAAAATAACAGTGGTTAGAGTGAGGAAGTTGCAACCCCACATTATCACTCTTTCTTATTCCTTTACCCTAGACTAATGAAAGTTGTCTTTGTTGCACTCCTAGATCTTATTACGTACAACTTTCTTAACTCTATATGATTACCATTTTTAGTGAAAAGCGCAGATGTAATGGACTTTTCAACGTTAGGCCAAACCATTTTAGCAACATGTGGAATCGACTGCTCGTCTAGATTTTCTACGATCGCCCAATCTCCTATCGCTAATGAACACATCCTTATTACAGATTCGCTTAAGAATACTATGCTGTCTCGATCGAATTGTGATATATTCTTTATTTCATCGTTGGTTTTTAAATCAACAGTGCCATGCAAAATGTTGTTTCGAACGAAATTGTAGGAATTCTGCTCGGAGCTCGGCGGACAATCGTTTGAATGACACTCTGTATCTTTATTTTGAAGGAATGCGAGGCAATTTTCACATTGCATCCAATTAGAATGTTTTTTTGCTTTTTGTTGGGACATTTTTTAAATATAAAATTGAATAACACTCGTTGTTTGCTGTCAGCAATCATAAACATAACCACACATTTACTTCTTTTTATTATATATTTTATTGTTTGTGGTCACTTGTAAACGTGGTTATACAGGTAAACATATAGAATGATAGTGTCGGGATTCGATGGAGAGGACATTGTAACAGAAGAAGGAATATTGTGGATTCTTGGAGACGTTTTCATTGGAAAATACTATACTCAATTCGATTTCGAGAACAACCGTGTTGGATTCGCAGAACTAAAATAATTTTGAGGTTGCAATTATGTTAAGTTTGCCATTGTAAGTTTGTAAGTAATAATTGCCATTAGCATTTGTAAAAATATCAATTAAAATAGTAGTCTTTGAACGCACATTTTCATATCTGAAGTAGATCTTTGAGCGACTTTAATCAGTTTAGATACGTAATAAAAATGTGTTTTGTTTTTCATGTAAATAAATATATATAATTAGTATTTAGTTTTCTTAATTTTTATTCTAAAAATGTAGTATTTACCTCACCGCTGAAAAAATTTGCTTCGTTAAACAAAAATTAAACGGGCCTACATTTTTCAAATTTATTAGTGAACAATGAACAATAATTCCTAAGTGATGCAGATATGTTGAAAACAAAAAAAATCTCGCTATTTATTCAACTGCAAACATGCCCCAGCAGTTAAGCTTTTGTTTGGAACTGGAACATATCCAAACTGAGCGAGTCGGCCAATTCGGTATTTTGTATACTTACACCTACTAATTTTCGAAACATATCGCTTTGTGAACTCTCGTGAAAAGTTAGCACAAGTGGAAAGTGTTCCTTGTTATTTGCAGTTCAATTACTCTGGTAAGTAATTGATAGATAGTATTTAGAAATAATTCCAATTAATAGAAAAGTGATTTATTCAAAAGCAATACTCCTGCATTTTAAAATTCACTTCTTGAATCTGTTAATGTAGATATGCTTGTATATTATAGGAATTTTAATTTATAATTATCATTCTTAATAACGATCACTAGTTTTGGACTACTTAATTAATATTAATTAATTAAATATTATTAAGAATAAAATATAATTATATAAACAAAAGGAAAGCATTGTAAACAACAGTTGCACTTCCTAACAATAGATATAAAATATTAAAAAAAATTATGGCTTCTATTTTGGCAAAGTTTGGTTACTCTAAAAATATTTTCATTAGAGACCGTGTTTTATTTAATGAAGCCAAGTTGATTTTAATAAAACCCCAAAAATAAGTCCAGGTGATGAAGTCTGATGATGATGAATTAAAAAAAATAGCCGGACGACTCACAATTTTCGAAAAATATCCCAAAATCATCCTGAGTAGGTGGATCATGAAATTCGTTAACAGTTGTTTTGAAACGCGATTTGTTTTTAAATTGTAACTAAAGATAGAAATAAAGAAAAATTAAATACACTCAGGTTCAGCTGTTATTTACCTATAAAGAATATTACGGTGGTATTTGAGAATTGCATCTAATTAATGCAATAATTAATCTTACTGCACATGACGTTAATGCCATTATATTCTATACAGTTGCATGTTATAGGTTGCAATAAAATGTAAAAATAGAAATTTCTAGAAAATTACAAATATAACTCGAAATCTAATTTCATACATCATTTAGAAAGATGCTTAAATGCTAGCGTATGTAAATTATCATTAACAGCACCCAACATTCACGAAGAAATGAATAAGAACTGTTTAAGGATGACTAGAGCTTGGAAATAATGCACTTAAAAAAGGCAAAATATGTATGCAAATATGCCTTAAAACATTCAAAATATCCAGTTGATAAAATATCCATTTAGAACTATCTAAAACCATTTAGAACGCTCTAATGATCACCTTCCGTGAAACTTTTTTTCTAATGTACAGTGTAAAACTTTATTTGTTCATTAGTTACTCTTTTATTTTTATCTCAAGAAACTTTAGGAGGAAAGTAAGTAAATTAGTATCAAGGATTTATAACTACAATTTAAATTTTAGCACTTTCAATTAAATGTTTATGTTTATTAAACAGTAATATTGCAATTAAATATGTTTATGCTACTTATTGTTCGAATAATATTAATCGGATCGTTCCAGACATACGTATCTACTACTGCAAAGGAAAAGGGTCAAACCAAAGGTCTTGTTAAAAAGGGAAAGCTACATCAATCGCACAGGTTTCACTACTATCGATCCCGCATGCCATTTATCTCCATGGAAATATAATTTGGACGAATGTTGTCATTATCAAAAAATAGGTGTTGCCCATGAAGTTATGGTTATTAGAATATCTTCGGAAAAAGCAATGAAATGCAGTTGATGACTCAACCTAGATTAGGTATTATAAATAAAGAATGGATTCAACATCTGACAATAAGCAGAGGGATGAAACTAATGATCTTGATGGAACGAAAGGTTGGTAGAGTCGATATGTATTTTAAAGTTATCATTAAAACGGTTAGTTACGATTAGATTCAAATTGATAGTTTTAAAATTTTGCTTTTTTCTTTTTGTCGCTGGTGGAATAATGATATAAAATGACTGATAATATTTGAATAGGTATTTAAGAATAATAACATACGGGAGTTACATTTAAGCTTGATCTAACTACAATAAGATTAGATCTTTTTGACCAAATTCCATAGAGAATTTTGATATATGCATGTGGAAAAGTTTGTGAAATGAATTTCGTTTCATTCTCAAAAATATAGAGTTCAAAACGAACGAATTCAATGAGTTCACAAATAATTTACTTTTATTTTTAAATAATAAAGTTTAAATCAATTAGAATTAGCATCTGATTGATGCACATTGCGCAGTCGTAGGGCTAGAAATCCCCTGTTCTGAAAAAAATGGTTTTTCGAAAGATTAGATCCTTCAACAGTGACAGTGAAAGCTCGCATGATAGGTACTATATTTTCATTTAGAATTTTAGTGGAATTGTATTCCTTTACTTAATAAATATTATCGTAATTCTATACAGGGTTTAGGTAGTTATTATTACAATTTTGAATCATTTCTTTTAATTTATCCAAATTTGAATACTATAAAAAAATGTAAAAAATATGTCTATGCATCTGAATTTTAAGGTACGGGTAATTTAAACAAAACTGAGTAGCAAAATTGAATAAAACTTAGAAAAACTAAACTCCCTTTAATCACTAAAAACAAAGATACTATAAACGTTAAAACATTTGTGTATTTAGGCTTCATCTATACTCCTATCTAAATAGGTATATGCTATGTTGTTTTATTGCATAAGATTTTATACCAATTTAAAGTTCTGTAGGTGCATTCCTTCAGAAGTTTTTTCGAATTTGTCTAAATTTTTACCGAAATTATTTTTTACATCCTGTATATCGATTACATTTTTTTTCATCGTATCTATCTATCAGCTTTCCGTCATATTTCTGATTTTTTATGACATTATAAATATGTTAACAATTTAATTATCAAATAATTTGAAATTGTTTCGATAAAAATACGTTAAAATTAAATGCCCATATGTAAGAAAATCCAAATGATGACTGACGATACCATTGGAAATGGATAGAGAGTATCATCATGAATAATAAACTATGGGTCGATAAAATGAAAAAAAAGATTTCAAAGCGTAAGTAATAAAAAACGGAGGTGCTCATAAATATCCAATCTTTGTACAAAACCTATGTAATGATGGGCTTATTTAATTTTACAAATTTAGGAATTCTAATTTCATCTGTAATTTGAAAACGTAATCTCTTTCTTTAGATGTAAATACAAGCGTCACATCTCTTCAGGCAAAACTTTTCACTCCGTTACCGACGCTTTCCACTAGTTATTTTGCTAACTTTCTGTTAAAACATTCTACCGAAGACGAAACCAAATTCAAGACGAGAGAACCACCCAAGGATTGGTGGATAAACAAAGAACCGCCGTTTGATTTCCAGCCTCCCCGATGGCCCACCGAGTGTCAGGTCCGATCTTAACCTACAGAGGAATTGACATTTTAATTCGCCTGAGACAATTTTCAGGTTTTGGAGGAGCGCGTTTATCACATTGTCGATTCACCGCCGACAAATGAGCTCTATTATGTCCCAACGGGCTCCGAATGCCAGCCCGCCCCGTCCGGCGAAGAATGCGGAAAAGTCGTTTTCCAATATACTCCTCTTAGCGCTGTGAACTATGTAATTTTTTATAACGTATCCCGATGTTCCATCACACGACTATTTTTCACCAGACATTCCATTATGGACATTTCATCACAACAACGCTTCATCATAACGACGATTCATCATAACAAAGATTCATCTCGGCGACTATTCTTCATAAGTAGGTGTGATGAATAGTCGTAGTGAAGAATTGTGGTAGTGATGATTTGTCGCTGTGGTGAATCGTCGTGATGAAATGTTACCGTTGAAATGTCGCATGATGAATAGTCGTGTGATGGAAGGTCCTGGAATCATTTTATGAAGCATTCATCGTTTCTAATATGTTCTAATTGGCGAAATTTCAGTTTTGCAGATCTAGTGTCGGAGGAAACAAATTTTTACTGCCATCTAGTCACTGTCCAGGGGACGAAACGCTAAAATTCGAATCTAGATTTGAGTCGGGAAATCTAGCGAAAGCCATTATGATTACGCCTACTTATTACGAACTGCATCTTAGATCTGACTTATATACGAACAGACATATGCAATGGTACTACTTTAGAGTTAGTAACGTTAAAAAAGGAAATTTATACAGGTACGCATGGAATAAATAAACCTTTAACAAAATCTTCTCCTATACATGAAATCGTTTCATAGATTTTCCATCACGAATTGCTCCAAAGAAAGTAGCTTATACAACGAAGGAATGAGACCGTTAATGTATTCAACCAAGGAATCGACCATTCACAATATTGGGTGGCGTCGATGCGGAACAAACATTTCGTACTATTGCAACGAAAATATGTACGTTGTGAAAAAACTAAAACAATTGCTATATACGTTATCTTTTTTTCTTAGAACATCAACTTTGGAACCAGACCATCCAATGACTTACACTCTAACATTCACAATACGTTTTCCTCACGATAACGACGAAGTCTATTTAGCTCACAGCTACCCTTATACATATTCGGATCTGCAAGATTACCTTCTGGAAATGTCCACGCATCCAGTCAAATCGACGTTCACCAGCATCAGGCCCTTGTGCAAGAGCTTGGCTGGTAATAACGTTCAATACGTTACCATAACCACTCCGCCCGCAGCAGGAGCGCCTGTTAAGGTTATTAAAAAAACCTCATTTGATTGTTATAAAATTGCATTTGCATTAAATCCGTTTGCAGAAGAAGAAAGCCATAGTGTTAACGGCTAGAGTACATCCCGGAGAAACGCCATCGTCTTGGATAATGAAAGGCATTTTGGATTTTCTATCGAGCGACACAGGACCCGCCAAAGAATTACGAGATAAGTTCATTTTTAAAATAGTGCCAATGTTAAACCCAGATGGTGTTATAGTAGGAAACAATCGTTGTTCATTATCTGCCAAAGACCTTAACAGGCAATATAGGACTGTCATTAGAGACGCTTACCCTTCGATATGGTACACCAAGTTAATGGTTAGAAGGTTTGGTATAGTTGTTTTTATACAATAGAAACGTAAATACTCTGCAAAAATTCTGCACGCCCTATAATAATAACGAATGCTGAATTTTTGACGAGGAAATGTTTTATTATAACTCTAATGTTTTCTTAATCAATTAATTATTACTAATATTTTCAGACTACTTGAAGAATGTGGTGTAGCTATGTATTGTGATATTCACGCCCACTCCAGAAAGCACAACATCTTTATATACGGTTGTGAGAATAGACGAGGTAATGAGCGGAAACTTCACGAACAAGTTTTTCCTTTAATGCTTCATAAAAATGCAGCTGATAAAGTGAGTGCAATATTTACTTTAACGCTATCTTATACAATATTTTGCAAATTGCTTTTAGTTTTCATTCGAAAGTTGTAAGTTCAAAGTCCAAAAGAATAAAGAAGGTACTGGGAGAGTGGTGATGTGGATGATGGGAATAGCAAACAGTTACACGTTGGAAACATCTCTCGCCGGTTCCACATTGAGCCACAGGGCCTACACTCACTTTACCATACAAGACTACGAACAAATGGGCAAGACCTTCTGCCAAACTCTTTTGGACTTCTACGACGAAGATCCCAAAAAGGTACTTTCCAGAAATGTCGAGCAAACTTTTATTCTTGCCATATTTATTGTAATAATCATAACTTTACTTCAAGCAACATTCTTTATAGAAGAATAAATTATTTTTTTATCTGAAAACGCGTTTTATTTTAGGAAAAACTACGAATGAAAATCGTAGAGAGATTGGTTAAAGAAGGATCGAACGCAGACGAACCGATGAATATCACATTAAGCGACTATTCAAGGTAGGCTTCTGATGAAAAATATTTTTTATTAAAACCAAAATAACACGCGTTAACGAATTTGCTTATTAGTGTTTGCTAGTTGCACTATTTAATCTAGTAGACTGGTTCGTTTTAGTAAAATCTTGGATTTTTAAAATAATTTTTATTAGGACCAATTTCATAGCATTCAGCAGCAATTTCTATGCATTTTAAATACTCCGGAAATTTACAATTTAACTACCTTGAATCATCAGCTTTGATATCTGATACTAGCTGGTAGTAACAATTTCCTAAATTATTTATGTTCCTTTAGGAACTGCTTATTTAAATGCAACTAATTCATTTAAATAAAAGGATAATGGTACATACAGATTGACAAAAATAGCTAAAACCATCAAGGTCATGTGGTTTGACTAGGTCATAAACAATTATTTCAAACAATGTTAGCCCAACTCGTGGTCTTTGTTATTCCTGTTAATCTACAATTCTATACCAGTTACCAATAATTGCTGGTTTTAATGTTGTTTTTAGTGACAATGGTGATACATCGAATAGTAGCGACGAAGTCGGGCGTGATTATGGTGAAGATATTGAAACGCCGTTGGTTCCGCCGTGTTCGCCGATTTTCTTAAAAAGAACTAAATCGAAAACTTCTTCCGGAAAAGTCAAATATTCGATGGCTAAAAGCCCGTCTGTTTCCAGGAGACCGTTGCCTGTAAATCATTGAACTTACTTTTTACGACTTTGTGTTTATACCGTTTCTTCAAAAATTGTAAAATATTTTTGCTTTGTGTAGGGAATTATGAGATAGTAGCTAAATTTCTTATCTTCTTAGTACATTGTGTTCCATGTAGAGGTTTAATAGTTTAAAGTTTTGGGGTGTTCATAATGTTTTCTATTTTGAATTCTAGATTTGTAAAGCTACATTGAAACTGTCTCTATCGGATAAAGAAAGTAGTGTTTCGTGTTCATCTTTCAGTGATTCTGATACGGACAAAGCGACAAAAACAAAAATAATTAAAAGGCGTAAGAAGAAAAAGTATTCGAGAAAGAAAAAGGTTCGAGAATTATATTAATAATTTCACAAAAGAGATAATTCCTTTAGGTTTTGATAACTTTTCCTTTCGCATTGAAGATAAGTTACACAATTTATCTTCCTTTAAATGTAAAAACTTCCTGTTTTCTTTTCATTTATCGTATTTTTTATTTTGTTATTAGAAAAGTAGAGAATCACTGGATGAAGATAGAATTATTGTTATATCAGTAAAGGTAATCAATTCAAAACCGGCAAATATTTCAATTGATTATATCTATAAGTTTGTGGCAATTTAACTGTTTTGCTTTTTAGAGTATAGGCGATCGTTCAGACAGAGAAATTCACCATAACAGAAGAACCATTTCTGTATTTGATTTGTTACCTGCAGATACATTAAACAATGAAAGTTTAGCATCCGTGCCCAGATTCAAAACTTCACAGGCTTTGTAAGTAGCACACTTAAATCGAATTTAATTTATGAAAAAAATCTAATTTGATTTGTAGAAGACATGTGGAGAAAAAGGACGATATTCATAAACAACTAGCCGAGGTTCAAGCAAAACTATTCACTTTGAAACACAAGTTGTGGTTCGGTGTTGGCAATGGTGATACTCCAATAGCTTGGAGCAAAAGGACAGTTGATTGCCAGAAAAAAATGTCTCAAAAAGAAATGTGAGCATTATTCTCAATGTCGCTGTAGTATGTAATGTTTTGATGTTTTAGGAAAAAGCAGAGCACGAAATCTAAAAAATCTCAGAAGGTAGAAAAGAAGTTGACCATCAAAGACCCGAAAGATAGCGACACCAAAGAAAAGTCAACGGTGAATGGGTATAATATAATCAGTTTAACTTTTCCTCATGAAGTTAGTTAGGGAAAATATTACTTAATTTTACAATTCTGATGTGTACACTAAAATCAAAGCGACATACATATACATATTGGTAATTCTTAAATAAAAGTTTTTAAATATGTTTTTAGTGAAGACATCAGAATTGCTTAGATGTAACTTTGATCCCCCGTTTTTATTACAAATTAAAGGGTTTACTTTAAACAAGGTTGGAAGTAACTGCTATGTTTTTCTTGAAGTTTTCCTTGAGTTTTCTTTGAAAATTACATCTGACTTGTCATGAAAACGGGGGTAAATGCTAGATTACATTAGTAACTAGTTGAAATAAAGTTTAGTTACAGAATAATAAAAAAAATGTTTGCGTTAGATATATTAGCTGTTCCAAAAATATGTTTTCAACAGGAAAAATTAATTATGTTTTTAGACCAAAACCAAAAGCAGTTTGCGACTTCACTCAACAAAAAAGTCAAACAGAAAAATCAAAACTTCGGAAATCGAAGAGTCTGCCGGACACTTCTTCTCTATCGCTGATGACGAAGCAGAAGTCCTTTAACTACGAAGATGATAGGGAGAAGAAGAAGAAAAAGAAGCTCGTTAAGAAAGTGAAATCCATAACTAACGCCAAGGCGTTTACAACGAGTAAAAAGACTGAATAAATACCCAATAATTTAGTGTACGCGCGAGTGGCCTTTATATTGCGATTCATTAGTAAAATTTAATCATAAATCAATTGTACTGCCGGTAGATGTGATACTTATTGTATTGAATACATAAATATATGCGTATTGAAAAATTATAAACATGCTAATTACTCTTTGTCTTCAGTTTCATAAGAAAGCGCTATTTAGAATGTATTTATACGACATTATTCAAAGACACCTTTACACCTTTAGAAAATTTCTTGAAACTGCTTGGTAAAATCGCTTTAATGAATTATAAAAGGTGGTTTCCTAACTATCTAACTTTAGTAATATGAGTTAAATTTATCTAAAATTTACTAGATGGCGCATGCATTCTGTTGTTGCGTCGAATTTCTGAAAATGGTCTATCTTCCTTTAAAGGCCACCACAATCTCTAATAGGAAATAATAATCTCATTTTCCAACGATGTGGTTACTACATGTATGTCATAAATACAGTTTGTTAGAAAAATATTGTACATCTTAATCGATTCTTGGAAAAAACCGATAATGGGAATATACACAATACTACGCACCTATGTACCTATTAGAAAACATATGAAAACAATATATCATTGCTAAAAGCAGACAGCATGTCGACAAAATATACACTTCTAAGAACCTATTAAATTAGACTGGTGGAAAAATAAGCTTTATTTTAAGTGTATCGCATCATTGTTCTTAGAGAAAATTCGCAAAAATTTATCTTATATGTTTGTCGCAAAAATCGTCCCTAATATCTGACAGAAAAAATGTTATGTGAAACTCTCAAATTGTTTCCAGAATTTGACTCTTTGTAAATGAATGAAATATCCTAATAAATCGATGAAACGTTGAAACAATCATCAAAAATCATTTTTGGTAATAATACCCTTTAAAAAATGAACAAATAGAGGGCGAATCAAATATGAACCGGAATTTTCTTTTTAACGCTCCCTAGGTGAAGTGAGTAAGATTCATATCCACGATTGCCAAAAGGAAATTTGTGAAAACCTGATGGAGGAGCAGCAATGGGATAAGCCAAGATTCGTCTTCCTGCTGGGAAAGTTATTAACTCAAGAAAACATGCATAAAATGCTCTGGAAAATACTCTAGATACTCTAGAACAACCACCATACAGTCCAGATTTATCGCCATGTGAACATCACATGTTTGGTCATTCAAAGAAGATCATCACGTCAACGATTACGAAGGTATGGAAAAGTTTGTACGCAATTGATTACAGGCACGACCGGATTCATTCTTTGATAACGGGATTAAAAAACTTCCGACTCGGTGGGAAATTTGCGGTAATAAAACAGGAGATTACGTAGAAAAATAATATGTATTCAAAGTTATGTTTAATTTACTAATAAATTTTTTAAAGCAAAATTCCGGTTCATATTTGATTCGTCCTAGTATGTATTATGGAAATAACAGAAATAATAATATTAATAAGAAAATATTGGGAGATTTGTAAAAGTCTTTCCAAAAATCTCAAAACATTTTTTAAAAGTCACTTTTAAATTCCACTAGAGTGGAAATTTTACACCAGTTGGTAATACATAGTTGGGTCTCTTCAGGCATTTTTGGACTGGTCTTTTGGTTCAACTGGCTCTGTTAACAAATAAATAATTTTTTTATACTCTAACTCCAAAATAGTAGGCACTAAATTTTCGGAAATATTATCGATTTAAAACGAAAACATTGTGTCAGGTGGTGATTCTAGACATTTAAGCATCTTCTATTTAAATAATTTACGAGCTGCTAAATAGCCATGGAATAATGGCTAACTAATAACGAAAACTTCACAATCATTTCTGAGAATTTAGTGCCTGTTTTGGAATTAGAGTACATCCTTTGAAAAATGATATGAATATATGTGTATGCCATGATATCGTATACATCCTATACAATTAAATATCTATTTAATGAAGCAAACGTTGTATGTGTTGAGATTCAAACAGAACAGAAAAAAATAGCAAACGCAGTGAAAAACTAATAAAAAAAATCTATAGTCGATGTATTTTGATAATCAATTCATCCGACAAACGTTGCGAAAGGATGCAACATGAATAGAGCGGAAGTCGACTATCCAGACATCGTCATCGCCCCCCAACGGAAGTCGATATTACAAGATACAATAATAAATGAGAAGTTCTCTTTCTCGCTCGCATTCTTGCAACGCTAATAGACAATGTCGGTGAGAACCAAAAATCTGTTTTAAATTTAGATGAATTATTGCCGAGCGGATTTTTATGAATGGAACATCGGAAGAGGGAAATTGTAATTAGGTACTACAACGGTTCCTTGAATTCCTAATCTAACCTCTGGATAATAGGTAATTGACTGGATGATTTCCTATTTAATTTTTTTCCAAAACACGGTAATTATTTAATCGCTAATTAAACGATAAACGATGTATTTCTATAAAAAAATGCATGGATATCCTGTGTCGTCGCCACGAGCATTAAATTATGGATTTGTAATGAATTCTGTGCATCCGATCTAATAAATATGTACAAAAGCAGAGACGGACTAGAAATTTTCAGTCAAGACCTACATTGAAATTGTATAAAAAACTATTATTATTTCAATAAGAAGGCATCCAACAATCTTACTTAAATTAAGAAACATTCTTAATTTATGAACATTCCTATCATATTAAATTTTGTAGATAAATAAGTTAAAGACTAATCTAATAAATTCATTAAATTTTGGTTGTAACAAAATGATGTATGAAAATTAGCGCGCTGCTTAATTGAATTAATGGCCGCCAGACGGTCCTGTCTACTGTTCCACAGGAAATAACAGGCAGTAACTTTGTAACTAACATAATTAATAATAATACAAAAATAGATTAACGTCGGAAATCTTGACGTAGATAGTCGATGGTAGATAGTTTGTAGGTTCTAATCGATTCGTATTTATAGTTTATACCTGCCTGTTTTTTCATCGTGGGAATATTTCACGTTTAGGCTTTTTTTCCGAGGTGGTTAGGAAACGCGCGAGTAATTTCCTTTCTTTTCCTTTCTTCGTGTAGCCTAAATTTTATTTAAATTTTTATTTTATTTACATTTGGAACGCTATAGAATCATCTAGAACTGTCTTGAATCATTTAGAACTGTCTAGAACCATTTACAATGCTCCAGAACCACCTAGAGCTGTCTAAAATCATTTAGAACTGGTTAGATCAATCTAGAACGCTCCAGAATCATTTATAATAACTGTTTAAAATCATTTAGAACGCTCCAGAGTCATCTAGAATTGTCTTGAATCATTTAGAACTGTTTAGAACCTTGTGTTTGATTATAGTTGTTCTATTTTCAAAATTTAATTTAATTGCAACTTTCATTAGGAATTATTTACCTATTTCGAGCCTACTTTCAATTTCTCGTATAAATTTTATGGCATGCTTGCCACGTTTTATATTTGGTAATTAGAAGTGATTTAATGTTTGGATTACCTTAATTCGCTGTTAGGTAACAAATTGTTGTTAAATTTAACAGCGATTGAGGCTTAATTTTGGAACGAAATCATGAATGAATTTACAATAGATATCAGCGACCATTGAGTATTTATAATATTCTAGTTATTAATGCTTAAAATCGTCCAACAAAAAAAATACAATTACATAATCAGTTTTTCGTTCTATCAATCAATACCAATGTTTGTTGTTTATTTTTGGAAGACGATATGGATATTTTTTTCATAATAATTCATTTCGTATTTGTGGCTATGTGTAAATATTATATTTTTGATAAAAAAATCTTTGACTATGTACGTATACACGTAGTATCTCTACTTATATTAAGTATATTCATGAATTCGAAGGGAGCTGATCATCCAGATAAATCTGTTATAAATATGCGGTAAATGTGTACGTTTTGAATAATTTAAATATCCGATGATTGCATTAAATACAACCGAAATTTCATACAATGTGCATTGTACATATTAATGCATTAAAATAACAATTTTTAACTGTTAGCAGAAATTACTCATATTACTAATCGTAAGGAGTGAAAAATAGAATTAACCTTTAAGTTAATTGCCTCATGCACTCGGAGTATTTTAAATTGGGTTAATTTGCCGCTTATTGAGGTAACGTTCACGTATAGTAAGCGTTACATCAATTAAAAAGAAGTTACTCATTTCTTTAGAAAATGAATAGGTCATTTTGCGTTTAATAAGACAAACGCTGAAATCGTAAATTGGATAAATTATCACGGATTTAATAGAAATTTTACGTTGAAGTGTTTCATCCCGGACCTGCATTCTCAATTCTAATCTCGAAGGTAAAACAGGTAAATCGTATATCCCTACTGCAGACTGCAGGTACTTAAGAAGGGCAATGTCGTAGAAGTTTGCATTTAAAAGGGAAAAATTTGATGTATAAACGTTTGTTTGTTACACAACTACAAAATTTATAGCAGCCAAAATCATCTCGAAATCGAACGAAGCAATTCCGTTTTCGGATTTATTTCGAACATCCCGTCGAAACATCACGCTGAAACGCAATAAAAAAAATTATACCCGATCCTCGCCTACGCCTTTGCGAACAGCGACGGCATAGCAAGAGATCCCATTGATTGGGTCGCATAGTCGTATAGTCGTAGTGAATGAAAGAAACGGACGTTAATACCGGTGGGTGGTATCTTGAGCTATTCCGAGAAGACCCCCTCTCGACCATTTGCATCGGTATCCGTAGGGGTTATTTTGGGACAGTTGCGACTTACACATGTCTCTCGGTTTCCTGTTCTTTTTGTTTTCAATTCGTCAATTTTCCTGTAAATATTTCTCTAACGTCTCTAATTTAAGTGTTAATTTAGGCGAGCGTGTTGGTACTTTTTCTTAACTCATACAGGGTGTTAATTAATAAGTGCGACAAATTTCAGGGAGTGATTTTGCATGAAAGATACTGATATTTTGCTATATAAATATATATCCGCAAATGCTTCGTTTTTGAGATACGAGGTGTTAAAGTTTCTTCACTACTAGATAAGGTGTATTGAGAAAATGAAAAATACATGTCGATGTTTTATTTTTTTACTCGAAAACAACAACCCGTACGAAAAAAACCCAAGAGAGTTTTTTTGTCACAAATTGAACGATGAATTCATTCATAATT